TTAATCCAATCCCCTCCAAAAAGAAAATATTTGGATTATCTAATAGACTACTCCATCTCTGCCTTTGTTATTGTTTTTTACAGTGAGTAGAACAGTTCTACTTTTACCAACCACTGATCACTGATATACCTTGGATATAGTATGTGGGAGTCTTAGTATTCAGAATATTACTTTTGGTTCAGGATTCATGTGACCAAGTAATAACCATGTTGTCTTTATTGACCAGGCGCTCGTCAGTCAGTAACCCACGCTCTGGCCTGTGTTTCATGGACAATAGCAGTTGCGGCACCTTTGTGCACGCTTTAATCGCACGATTAAAAAAAAGACAATTAAAATAGGTCCACGTTAACACCAACATCAACGCGTTAAACTGACAGCACTATATACAGTATTTCTGTCTCTTTTGTGTAATAACCACTTTTCCGTCACTTCTGTCTTCAGCTAAAATTGTCATTCTCACCTAATGGCTTTTTACAAGGCCCAGATGCATAATAAAAATATGAATTACAGTAAAAACCATTAATAAATCAACAATAAAAACTGCTTTTAACAGCCACATTGATGGTAAAGTCTTCTGCCACATTTCAAACTTTTCGTTGTGTAGTTCCCAAACAAATAGGGTCAATAGTGGTTAAAAAGGCAGAATAACTCAATGTTCAGCCACTATCTATAGGTGTAGAGGGACTTTGGTCAAAACAAGATTACAGTAAGACTGGAACAAGATGTAACAAATCAAGGCAAAAGAACCCAAGAGCAGACTCTGAAATAGTTCAGATGGAATTTTATTTAATCTGGTGTGGAGCTAGATGGGGTAGAGCCAGGGCAAGACAGAGCAGGACAGAGCAGGACAGAGCAGACCCAGGGCGGGAAGGAGCAAAACCAGGGCAGGACGGAGCAGGGGCAGGGCGGAGACGGAAAAGCGGGTGGCCGGAGAACTAGAGAATATAGCAAAAATTGGTTTGAATGTAATAATTTGAGGTAGTCAAAAATAGCGCTAGAAAGGTAACACTGACTGGCAGAGTTTTACGATCTGAGCTCACTGCATTGGCTTTTGAATCCTTCCTGCTGATGATGAGAGTGAACTCAGCTATGGAGTTCCTCCAGCACACCTGTTCACATCCTGCAACAGAAAGGGATGGGGAGGGAAGGCCAGCCTCTCAGGGAGTGGCTGAAGTGGCCACAGGTGCTGGAGGGGCTGTGACACAGAATTGTTACAGAACAGTTTTACTTTTCTTACTTTCTAAATGCTTTTGATCGTTCCACTCTGACGGATGAACCGCTCCGTCAGATATTGTTGTGGAATTTCTGGACAGACCGAGAGCAAAAATAATGTAAACAACCAAGAGCTGTAATACAATCAAAGTGTGAGTTTATTCATTAGTAAATGTGCACATATACAATGAATAACAGAACCGATACCGATACCACCTGCAGCCGTCTGAAACCGTCTGCTACGAATGAGGAAATGACGGACATTAAATAAACCAGAGTAAACAAAGACATATCTACTACAAATGAAATCATTATTGATATGTGTCGCTCAAGGCTTCTCTGTACGCTGCCTTACGACACAGATATTGCCAAATAAACACATCTCCATCTATCAGCTGACCATGCTGCCAACAGCAACATGTGCTGTATTTGAATCCAGAGTTGAGAATTAGTGAGTAACTTACACTGATAACTATTTTATGTTAATTCAGATTGCTTTACTAAAAGATTTATATAACAATGTCCACCTCTCTCACAGCTCAAATGGTCATGAGGAGCTTGCCAATGATGATCTATATCTTCTGCCAAACAGAAAGAATTGACAAAAAATCCCATTTGATAAAACTGCGTCTGGTGATGATCCAGGACATTCGACATTCATTTTAATCACTGTATTTCCTGTGATCTTGGCAAACCGACATCTTTGTAAAGTCCTCGAAGATAGTTACTGTTGTGATTTAGGTCTACTGTACACAAAATATTGTGTTTGATCCAGCCATGCTTTCAGAAGGGTAGAAGTTCAAAAGCTACACCAACTCTGCTGCTGTGACCTAAAATGAGGGTTTTCTCTCTCTCTCCAGCCATCTCTCCTTGGGGTATGATATTTTCTGTTATGTCTGTATGTATCTTGTAATTATTCAGTGTTCATCTATCTATCGTGCCATAAGAGAAGTCTAGTAGGTTGATCAGTAGTCAGCAAAGCAAAGCTATGAACTTGCTATAGGCCTCAGTCTAATTATGAATATCCTGAGCTGAACTTGAGGTAATTATGTCTGTGATCATGTATTTTCTCGACAAATCAGAATATATTGCCCTGTTGTCGTTTCAATTCATTATAATCACAGAAGAGCTCTGCTGCCCCCTGGTGGCTTTTATAGTTTCTTTACTCTGTGTCAGGGTCAAGTATAAAGCAATGGTCAGGACAGTATATAGACAGTAAAGTTGAAATTAGTTACTCTAATTAGAATAAATTATGATTATGTGTTGAGCCCTGTGTGTGTTCTATAGAGAAAAGTCTATTGTCAATATCATACATTATATTTATATGTTTAAATCCCAAGTGATTTCCTCGTGTGTGTATGTTATGGGGTATGGATAAATCTAACCTTTCTTGCACAGCAGCCATCTGTGGGAATCAGCAGAGACATGTTTGTATGCATGTATACACCCACCCTTTGTAGATTACTTACAGGCTGAAGTTTCTCATAAATAATGCAAGACTCCTCCGTGGATATTAAATGATTTCAATGGTTGATAAAATGGGTCTGTATGGTGAACTGTCAGGAACTTAATTAACACTTGAACTGGAAAAAAGTAGGAATTCTCTGAGGCGTGTTATGAGTAAGTAATGCCTGCTCCATGTGATTAATACAATGTCAGAATTAACACGGTTGCTTAAACCGCTATCACATGCAGAAGGTCAGTAAGGGCGATGCATCAGAATAAAAATACTGGAAGGAAGTAGGAAGAAGATAATACTTTTTGAGAGGCATGAATAGAATTTGGGCCTGCACTGGTTTTAGCAGCAATCTACATATTTAACCCAGCTATTTACTATTCAGATCAATCGGGAGATTAGGGAAATACTTAATCACTAAGAGAGGCCTATACTTTTGTCAAAATACTTAGTATAAATACTATACTTAATATACATAAGTATATTAATTTGGAGGGAAATCTAGAAGAGCATCATCCATTTTCTTCCCGTCATCAGTCCAAGCAGTGACGCCCTGACTTCACTCACCACACACACTTCCTCCAGCTCATCTGGGGGAATCCTGAGGCAATTCCCAAGCCAGTTAAGAGACATAGTCCCTCCAAAGTCTCCTGGAGCCACCTCTGGGAGAGACATGCCCAGAACCTTCCCTCAGGGCAACCTGAACTCCCCTCGACGCAGAGAAGTAGCCGCTCTATTTTTCGAGCTCCAGAGGTGAGGATGGGAACAATTTCAGTGAGGGAAAAATAAAACAACATACAATACATTCATATAATAGTCTATTTTGTAAACAGTATTCATGCAGGGAAATACTTAATATATATATATATATATATATATATATATATATATATCAAACACAGCTGACACATCTCAAAGCCTTTTTTATAACTATAACTATTAAAAAAAACTTTAGCCACAGTAGGTGAGGCTGGTTTTATTACCACACTTCAGCATCAAAAACATTTCTATTCAAAATTGTTTTGTTAAACCCACCAATCCCACAGTAAGATTAAAATACACATGAGCTTGTATTACACTTCTTAAAACAAGTTACAGAAACTATAAAGTTTGGAGATATTCCTTTATTGAAGATGCGGAGGCCAAGGAGGGGGCTGCTCCAGCACTTCCATGCATTTGCTCAAATATCAATTCAAATACCGAATACGGATTCTTACGGAGTGATTGCTTGATTTTCTAATCTGATGTTGCTAATGGTCAAACACTTTGTGTCTGATTACTTGTGCCTGAAAACTGCTGCTGCCTTTGTATCTACTTTATATATTACATAACTGTCAAAAGGCTGAAATATGTTTCCTTGTTGATCACCTCCTTGCTGCCAAGCTTGAAGTAAACCCAACGTGTGTCCCCACAAATCACAGGTTTTGGCTCTACTATTTATTGTTAGTCATTAAGTGAAAAGTTCACCCAGGGCAGATGCATCTAACAAGAATTCCTGACATGTTTTTTGACTAAAGCAGCCAGTATGTTCCAGTTTACCAATGGAAATGAGCCACACTCTGGGTTCTTTTCCTATGACAATTTATTTTTATTGATTTATTTTTGCTTTTTAAAACCCAACATTTTCATGAAAGGATCATTTTAGACTAAATTCTCTTACAAGATAAAATGAAATAAATGTTCTGCATCTCAAACATGTATGCATGGATCTGCATTTTCTGGGTTATGTCCATAATTATAATTAACTCACAAAATACCAACGCGTATGTCTCTCCCATAAACACCATTCCCTTAATTAAATGTAATATTTAAATGGTACTATTTAATGTCAAGGTGGGAGTCAATCATTTATTGACTTAGCTTGAGAAAAGTCTTTAAATTTTAACAACAAATTAAAATTCCACATATTTCTACAATATTCAGAAGTTCTAATCTGTGCCTGCTTCTGACTTTATTCATTCATCTTTGAAATGTTTCTGCCAAGCCTTTCTGAGAAGTCAGAGAAACTTGCGTACACGGCTCAAATGATTATTTTCCCATTACCGTCACCCAGACACAGTAGTAAAAATGAACAACAAGAAGCTTTTTAATCAGGCACATAAATAGGGTGTCTGTGTGCGCGCTGCAGATGGCTAATGGCACTTAGCAAATCATTTAAATGAACGGCCAAAAAGGTCACAGCGCAAGAATAGCCCTTATTGGGTAGAAAAACCAATCACATTAGACATGAGCAATATTGCTGCTGGCATGTGAGCAGGTATGAGAACGGAAATGCCTCCAGTTATGTAGACTTGCATTCAAAACAAGGGAGCAAAGGAGAACGTGGAAGAATTCAGAAATGTTGACTGTTCTTTTTGGCTGGATCACTGTGTTTGGCGTCCTCCGGCTTGGAACTCTGTTAAACACATAAAAACAACTTTAAGATTATAAATACTTCCAATGTCACCACACTTCATTTTGAATAATAATAATGTATATAGTCAATCTATATTCATCTAAATGTTTTTTTTTTATCCGAAACCATTGGATTATTTAATATAAAGACATTGTAATACTCATTGGTAACAGTCGAATGTGCCATCTAAAAGCTCGGTTTTAATGATGGGATGCCGATGACTATTGGCTAGGTCATGGGAAGAGCTGATTTTATTTTCCCCTCAAATTAGTTTTGTGAATTTCTCCAGCTTGAGGAAGACCAGTGAGACCAAAACGTGGTATCAAAACCTGATAAGAGAGAGATAGAGAGCCGGAGATTTTTGTCCTTATCAACACCACTTCTAGAACTAGATACGTTTGTTTTGCTTATCCCGACCATCTCTTATTCCATTACACATTTTTCTTCGTTAATCTGGGATACCTAATTTGTAATACAATTAATTTAGCCAGTACCTGGATCTCAAAACAGTTTGGTCCATCACATAGTGTTAATTATTATTAAAAAAAATTGATAAGCTCTCAGCAAAATCTATCTTAATTTGAGAAGATTTGGACAGCCCTAAAACATCATTTGCCAATGGGATAAGCAAAATGATGTTGATTTTTATAAATATACAAGAAATGTCTCCCATGGAATGAGAAAATAAAGCTTGAAATAGACTAAATGGCTTGTCCTATTCAAAAATCTTGTTTAAAGACAATCAGAACATAATCAAATTAATTTAAGATTCAAGTAATTATAACCTCAATTTTTTTTGCAGTGTAATAATCAAAAATAATAATTGTAGGTGCATCTAAATGGCACAGTGACACAGAGTGAGTAGATACATCCGGCCTCTTTGTCTCACCTTGGTCTTGAAGAACAGATTGATGACTCCTTTAGATCTCCTGTTGGCTGTTCGGTCCGATGGCAGGCACACGGACACGCTCTTGCTGTCCCGTCTCGCTCGGGCACTGTCCACCTCCTCTGAACTGCCCACCACTGACAGTGAGAGACCTGCACATAAAGCAACAAGCACAGTCCATTTCAAAGATATATGTACCTCTATGACAGCTCCAATTATGAGCCGACCGGGGCCGGCCAGAGACTCTGCTTTGTTTCTACAGTGGTGTGTACAGCAGTAGAGTGTGTGTGTGTGTGTGTTCAGATAGACAGCACAGTTTGCAGCAGCGCTAATCGGGAAGTCTATTAACAGCAGGGTCGATACGTATCCTGCTGGCATGGGCGGACGTGGCAAGAGGCCGAGGGAACATAAGTGCCTCTTGAATTAGTGTAATGTGCAAGGTGACTGCGCACAGTGTGGTGCAATATGGAAGAACTGCTCAAGCGGTAGGTCAAGTGGACATGGTTTGATTATCATTGGAACTCTAGACCTGCAAGATTATACAGTGCCTCGCAAAAGTATTATTACACTTTGAACTTTTAATTTATTTTACTGATATGAATATGTGAAATAAAAAGTGGGGTTTGCACTAGTAAACATACAGGATAAGTGGAATTCCCAGCTATTTTTCTCCATCCACCGTCCCATCACCTCTGACCCTCCTGCCTGTTCCCTGGTGCAGAAAAGCCGTCCCACAGCATGATGTTGCCCCCCCCCATATTTGACACAGGGGATGGTGCAGTAGGTATAAGGCTGAATGACTACAAATGCAAACCCCCACGTTTTTATTGGCCATGGAATGCACTTTCACACATTAAAATAACATGGCCATTTGTGGAAGTAATTATGATAAAAACTGATCTGTGGGTAAACATTTGGATAATATTTTTCAACATTTCTTTCAAAAATTGCTTCTCTCTCATTGAGTGGTATTAGTAACTACCCAGAAGCTGAAATATTATTCAACCTGAATGCAAAGCTATTCATGGGAAATAACGGTACAGATATTACCTCACTGTTTTTTTTTTTTGGTCAATTTGATAAAGACTTCACAGTATAGTCATGTCATTCATTAAAAGCACAGTCAACACAGACATCAAACAAATTCGATCAACTTTATCACACGGAAAAGTGGGAATTAAAAAGAGCCAATGAGCTCTCAGGACTCTAAATCTTACTTTTACCAGACCTTTTCAGCGAAAAATTAAAGTTGAACTTTAACCAGTTGATATGTATATATACAGTATATATAACAAGTTGACCAAGTAACACATGGATGGATGTTGGAATAAAAGCTGCAGTGTGTGAGACCTGTGATGGCCGGCAGGGATCTGGAGTTGGTCAGCCTCACACTTCCCTCTTCCGGAGAACACAGGTTCGTGTCACTGCGGAACTCCTGCTTTTTGGACAGCTAGAGGGAGACAGAGATCACACGCAAACATGAAGACAGAAGAGTGAGGAGAGATGATCATGTATCATTTATGAGGAGATGGGAGAACTGCATGCATCCTATGTTGAGTACATTTCATTGTTGCAGGTTTTTTTTTTTATCTCAAATTTTGTATTATCTATTGCATGGGGTACATACATCTCTGAATTTTCTGTCAAAAGTGTGTGGGTTATACTGTAGTTCCTTTCAAAGAATACAATTGTAATAGATTGATGGTGTTTTCTGTTAACTTTTCAATTGTTTAATTCTTTGGATCATTATCCAGACCTAATGAATGAATGATCTTGTGAGTTAGACTTTTAAATAAACAATCTGAACACGAACCCCTTCCCATACCCATAGACCCTTTCAATAACAGTTGCCACTGCAAGTTTTATAAGCTGGCATGTAAAAAAGTCACGGGGTAGTCTGACCTCACATAAAACGCTGTATTATAGTAATAATTCCACCTGTTTTATAATATTTAGCCTGAGCGTTATAATATTCAACCAGATAATTGGAGGTTTGTGAATAAAATGTCAACTGAATAATGTGGTCTTTGGAATTTGCTAATCGTGTCCACTCAATTGAAATTCCTCTTGCAGGACTTTTCTGGTTCCCACCGCTACAGAAACCAAAAGAAGAAACCAGGTCATCTGTCCTGGTTCAAGTACTGGTTTTGCTCAAATACTGGTATCCATAAGTATAAAGGTCCCCAGCCCATTGCATTAATGTATACTGTAAATCAGTAAATCCACCAGGTCATGCCACTTTTGCATTGACATTTCATATGTGGCATCTTTTTAACTCTACCCTTTTGGTATCCAGAGTGGCAGTCCGCTCTCTCTCTTCAGTTATAAAGATCATGCTGCCCCTTTTCTTCTTCTTGCTCTTCCTCAGCCTGACATCAGTGTCGCCCACGGTGACTATGTCTTCCCCTGTGTTTGTGCTCAGACTGCCGCTGGAGTGTGGTAGAGCACACGGCCACACAGGCGACTCTGGTGGCATATCCCTGTAAGGCGGACAAGGAGAAAGTCAATGGACAGCGTTAAATATCGACTTTGCAGCTTTGGCTGGCAGTAAATCAGGACAAATCTCTGTCATTTAGTGCAGCGGAGGGTACTTCAAACTGAATCTGAGGGGTTCTTGTGTGACTCCAAGGTCAGTGGATAAATCTTGTTCAGCAGAAGTAGGGGCAATTTGTACTAAAGCAAAAAAATACTGAGTTATGTGTTATTAACTGAGAACCACTAACTAATAGAAGCACAGAGCACCTTTGTTCTGTGCTTAAAGCACACTATTGTGCTTTATTCATTCACTCCACCATCTGCCGACTCGATCTCTAACTCTCACACACGCACGCACACACCCCCACCACACACACACACACACGCATACACATACACACACACGTACACACACACACATACACACACGTAGGTCATTGTGGGTGAAGTGTCTTGCCAGATAAAGACACAAGGGCACGTTGAGCAGAGCCTCAGCTGTCTGACTGTGGCACCTGGTATTCCCAGTGTTATCCAATCCAAGTCTTGCTTAAGGGGAAGATATGGCCTTCTCCTGGTCTGTCAAAGTGTGATGTCAACTACAAACAGCCAAAGACTTATCAGAGCCATGCAGGTAAATGTATACGCCTAAGCACACTTTAAATTAAATACCAGTGAAGGGACTACAGCTTTTTTCTTACCTCAAAGCTCAATCACCGACTAATTACAAATCAGTAATCTTGTGTTTTAAACTAGCTGTTGATTCTGTAAGTGACGACAGAACTAATGCTTGAGTAAAGGGTGAAAATCTGAAAATTAGAATATCTATGGAGCTATTATTGTTTCAATAACCAGATTTGTGCGTGTGTAACCAGATTTGTGTGTGCATAAAAAGATTTGTGTGTGTGCAAAAAAATAAGTACGTTTTACACAAGTTTTTTTTTTTACACACAAATCTTTTGACGCAGTCCTGCCTTCGCAGATTCGCAAGTGTAACTTGGACTGTGTGCGTCTGTACCCAGATTTGTGTGTGTGTAATTTGACATTTTTATCTGTAACAGAACAATCTGTGTGTAAAAAACCACGTTGTACGAAGAGAAGAACAGAAAAAAGCCTAAGTGCTACGCACAGGCTCTGTTTTACACACAAATCTCTTTTTGACACACCTCTGCCGCCAGGAGTGTGTCAAAAGAGATTCGTAAGTGTAATGTGGTTGTTCTAGCAGTACACCAGCAGATGGTGCTGTTGTAGCTGGTTATTACCTACAGGCAAGCAAACCAAAACCTACTGCCTTGACAAGACACACTACCACAGCTGTTTATGATATTTTTTTTCTAAATTCAAAATCCTGTCATTCACACCACTGTATGATACATGGATCTATTATAATAACTGGAAACTGGAGCTTGGAGCTGAAGGACCCACAGGATTCTCGCATACTGCAGACAAGACTAAATTCACGTGGGCTACACAGACATTTTCCCCATAGAACTCAATGTAAACTATAACAGCTGACAGAGAACCTACAGCTTTCATAAAAGTCGGATTTTGTGGGAATTTATAGTGTCCCTTGTCATCCTTAACTTTTCTTCTTGAATCCTTCGGTTTTCTTTAAATCTACACATTAGTGCCACAAACTCTGCTGGTTTGCTTGCGTGTAGGTAATAACCAGCTACAACAGCACCATCTGCTGGTGTACTGCTAGAACAACCACATTAAACTTACGAATCTTTTTGACACACGCTTGACGGCAAAGGTGTGTCAAAAAGAGATTTGTGTGTAAAACAGAGCCTGTGCGTAGCACTTAGGCTTTTTTCCTTCTTCTCTTCGTACAATGCGGTTATCTACACACAGATTGTTCTGTTACAGATACAAATGTCAAATTAGACGCATACAGTCCAAGTTACACTTGCGAATCTGCGAAGGCAGGACTGCGTCAAAAGATTTGTGTGTAAAAAATAACTTGTGTGTAAAACGTACTTTTTTTTTACACGCACACAAATCTTTTTAAGCACACACAAATATTTCTTTTACACACACACAAATCTGGTTACGCACGCACAAATCTTTTTACGTACACACAAATCTGGTTATGCACACAAAAATCTGGTTACGCACAGACAAATCTGTTTATGCATGCAGAAATCTGTTTACACACACACACATATTATTGAAACAATAATAGCTCCATAAATATCAATCAAAAGTCCATTCACTTGTACATTTACAATGTGAAACTATATGAGAGAATAATTACATGCAAAGGTCCTAATGTTATTACCGGCTCACAGCTTGCAAAAACCCCAAAATAGTCCATTTTGAAAATTGACTGTAAATTATAAGAAAACAATTGTTGACATACAGTATGTTTACTTAACATGACATTTTAATATGAATTAAAGAAATATATTAATTTAATCATTATTTTTAACAATATTATATTTTTTTTGAGTTTCACCTCTACATGATCCCTGAGTTTCACCTCTACATTAAACTAGAGGTGCCCCGATCTGGTCTGATATTTTGTGTTCTTCAGTATTTGGTGATACCCAATTCGAACCCAGTGAAGAGAGGCAGCATTTTTCATTCTTAAAATCTCATCAAACTTCATACAACTCAGCCCAATTGTACTTTAAACTAGCTGTTGCACCAACATCCAATGTCAGTATCGTATCGGTACTTCCCTTTAAAGCAAGCCTTTTAGTAAGAGGGCCAATTTAGTTCACAAGATTTGTCCAAGAGCCAACAACGGCTCGAGGTCCTGAGCTTTACAACAAGGTACAGAATGTCATATTGGCATGGTGAACTTGTGTGTATTTCAAAGACGACAGTCTGTGAGGTGGACAGCCAAATAAAATAACACACTGCAATCAGTGATGAAAAATAAGTCAACAATTGCTCAAATTTGGCATAATGCACATTTTGACTGTCTTAAAATAAGATTTGCCTTTGAGACAAGCAAAATGATTGTCTCAAAATGTCTCAAAATGATGTTTAGAAAAATATACAAGAAATATCTCCCTTGGAATGAGAAAATAAAGCAACAGTTCTTGAAATATGACAACATGGCTTGTCCAGTTCGCAAATTTTGTCTTAAGATAGTCAGAATGACTACAATTCAAACAATTAGTGCCTAAATATTTTTCCAGTGCAGAGGGCTGCAATTGTCACACAGGCCTGAGATGGGACATTTCTGCTTCAAACAAAGTATTCCTATATGTATAAATGTTCTAATATTTGGACTTGATTAACCTTTCCCTCCATGTGTACATCATACCTGTCCACGTGCAGCCTGGTCGGGGTGCCACATTCAGTGCCTTGCAATGATGAATTGGAGATAACTGACTGACGGTAAGATCGCAGCATAGAGCGAGGACGGGTGGACTTTCTCTCCTCCAGGTCAGGCTACAATGAGCAGACAAACAGCTTTAAGCAGAAACAAGCAGGATGTGTGGAGCTGCTTTTGACTTTCCAAGCAACACGTTTTCTTCCAAATGAGGATTCCTGCACATCATTAGTGCTACCTGTCCTGAAGGAGCAGGGCTATTTGCAAGTTAATGGCATGCTTACACCATCCAGACAAGGTGCATTTGAATAAATAAAGTTCAAATCACAAACCAACATATCAGAAGTTTGTGTGGCGACTTTGATCTATGGTCTAATTAAATTTATGAAAAAGAGAAAGAAAAGCAGCCACTGAAGGTGAATAGTTAAGATATTTTAAGGACATGTTGTTCTTAGTGATATTCATTCTTTTCCTCACCAGCTCCCTCACTCCGTACTCCTTCTCCACTTTCTTCTTCAGCTGCTTGAAGCACTCCTCCATGCGCTCGTGGAAAGGCCGGAGGTCGTCTGTCACTCTTTTTCCATGGAGGGAGATCCCTGCTCCAAGTAATGGGGTCTATGCAATAATAATACAATATCATATGTGCTGTAATCCATTTCACTTTATTTAGTGGTTCTGACCTGCCATGCAATCAGGTCTTTGAGTCGCATGAGTTTATCATGGTCTTCTTGGTGATTTTCAATGTACTCATCAGTGAAGAAGGCCTAATCCCAAACGAAAAAAACACAGCTTTGACTTAGGGAAATGTGTTACTTGTTTTGAAGAGAAACAGTAAAATTGATAAAGATGATTTGATCATTTAAGTACAGAGTAAAGACTACATACATACCTTTTCATACTTGGCAAATCCTCCCATGACGGCCGGGTCCACAATGCCGTTGAGCAGCATGGACAGGGGGTTGATGGGTAAACTCACATCAGACTGATACTGGTTAATCATGGCCAGGATCTTCTCGTTTGTGGACTCCATTGTCTCAATGGCATTCTCCAGCGGTGACAAGGTTGTCTTGGTAGAAATAAACACAAAACTATCTTTACCTAAGTGAGTACCATGTTCATGAACTTATATCATTAGTCAAACAATGTAAACAACTGAATTCAAGAGGTTCTGAGCTTTACAGTTATATCAGGCCTTTATTGGTAAAGCTGAAGTTGGCTGGATGACACTGTTAACTTGTGTTTATGATCTTAATGGCTTCAGCGGGCAAGACATTTTTGTAAAAGTTAGGGTGTTCATGCCCTGTTTACTAATTCCAATAATATATCTGCTATGTTTTCTGGGTTTTTCTTTTTCTGTTGTATAAAAACGTTTTATACAACAGAAAAACAAAAACACATACAATGACACAGAGGTCCGTGATTGGCCTGCAGGCCGGACTTTGGACATGCCTGATGTAAGTGAAGTAAATAAATAATGAACCAAGTCTCTAGACTAGATTGAATCTGTGATGGGAACCTCTAACAGAGAAGGCAATAGCTTAAAGCAAACATGGAGTTCAAACAGACTTACATGTTTAATGTCAGACGCCTCAAACCAGCGAAGAATTCCGGGCAACTTATAAACTGTGGTGAAGGTGGTCCTCTCAATCCACATGGACTGCACAGAGGAGGCACAATGAATAAAACTTTGATAACATATTCATTAACATCTGCGCCTGCTGCAATTTTCAATGTTACGGGCTATTTGTCAGAGCTGTAGGAAGGCATTAGGAATCTATGTGTCGTCTTGAGTCATTGTTATGGTAATAAATCAATGTATTCCAAAAAGAAACGCACTACAAACTCATTGTTGGGATCCACAGGTCCTTTCCTCACAGGCCGCGAGTAGTGAAAGCGCTGCACGTAGTTTGACTTGTAGAAGCTGAGTGGGAGGAGAAGTCAAACAGAGAACACAAATTAAACCATTTTCACAAAAAGATTGAAAACGTGGCACTATCAGGGAGGCATTCTGTTCCATCGGCTAATACAAATGTAAGAAATAAAATCAAATGGCGCTGACTTGATAATCTGGTCAGGCACTGGTTTGTTCTTCAGACGAGGGGGGATCTCCAGCACAGGCTGCACAGTGAAGCACTGTATGTCTGAATAGTTTCTCTCAGGAAGAAAACCAATGAGAGAGAAAAATTTAGCTGGAAAAAGTGTAAAATGTGCCACATTTTCTGGGAGAGTGTCAGACACCTGCTTGTCTTCAAAGATATTTATTTGCTTGCATGTTTTTTTTTCATTTTTGTTCTTACATTTATTTAATCTATGTGCTTTTATTGTGAAGAATATCTTGTGTCGGCAGACCAAGAGGCACACTTCCATTCCATTCACAAATCTAATCCTTAGTTTCATTCCTATTGAGCAAAAATACAGGTTATTCTTCCCCAAAACTCTTTTTGCCGAGGCGGGGTCATTATTTAGACAGGATCAATATCAAACTTTTTACATGTGGGTTGTATGAAGGTTATAAAACCATACACAAGTCATACAACAGGCAATATTTTAGTCACAGTTTTGGTCGGAACAGGGCCTTTTTGAGTGAAGTTTACATATTCTCCCCGAGTTTGCGTAGGTTTCCTCCGGGTGCTACGGTTTCCCCTATTACTAAAAATGTGTACAATAGTTCAGGGTGAGTGTGTGGTTGTGACTGCGACTGTGGGACAGAGGATGGAAATTAACCCATGGCTACAATCCGGAGTGATGTGTTCATTAACATGACCTGTCCCGACCAAATAAACAAACAATACAAAAAAATACAATTTGTTTTGTTAAAGTGATGTAACAAGAGGGTAGCTCTTCTTAAGTTTGGGCTTTTGCGCATGCTGCTCTTTCCTTTTTTAAGTTGTTCTTGTAAAACCTGAACATATTTATATTGCTCCATGTGGATGATAAATACATGTTGTAGTCCGTTTTAATGCAATTCCCTGAGTTCCACTTCTCCGTGACTTAAGATGACTTTGTTTTGATCCTTTTAGTGTGGCATTTTTCTATCTCCCCTATGCTGAAAACAACAAGTTTTCAGCATAGGACTATTGTCCTGGGGCGACACAGCATTTCAACACGGGTCAAACAGAGGTCTGCAGTATGAATACATTTTTATTCCTTTTGTCATTTCTAGGAATCGCGAACTGTTTGTATTTGTTGGGAGGAGTGGGTGAACACTGTCCAGTTTCAAAAGACTAAAGTTGAGTCAACGGCAAGATTGTGAAGGGAAGTGAAGGGATCAGTTTTTTCTCATTGAAAATTCATGCACTCTAATTTTCAAAACTACGCTTGGAATCATTTATTAGAGGCAACAGTGGAACAGACACAACATGCAATAGTTAGTATTGTACACTACAGACTGCCCTGAGTACACAACATAAATAAGCATCAGATTGAAGGATACATTGCAGAGCGGAGTCTTGCACGTCAGGTCCGGGCATGGTGGTTGTGTTCAGCCGCACTGAACTGGGAAACTGGGACATGAGATGGTTCTGGAAGTCTTCTCGCCGCTCATACTCCTTCCCACGATGGATAAACACCTTGTTCTAATGTCAATACAAAGGCAAAAGTCAGCTGTTGAACCGATTTTTGACTTTGTATGGAAAACGAATGAGTCTCTCTACAGTATGTTGACAGAATCCGTGTAATATAATTGAATCTTGTCCATTGACCTAACTATGTCAACACACAACCAATACACACACTGATGGATTTCAGATTAGCTTAATTGCTTGTGGCATGCTTGGCTGGAAAACAAAACAGATCAGATAAGAATGTAAGATGAGCAGCTTTTTTATTTTCAGCTGTGTTAAAACAAATCTTGTATTACATATTCCTTTGCCCTCCAACTTGGCACCCTGTAACCATCTCCTGTCTTTGTCCAGAGCCTTTTGTCTGTCGGTGTCTTCGTGCCCTTCTAAACAACAACACAAGTCATGCTTCTGTTGTCCTCATTCCACATTCTGTCCATTCTTCCAGTCAAAGAGAACCACCACGAAGTGAAACAGCTGTCACTTTTCTCTCTCTGTTACCTGCCGCTCTTTCTCTTGTACTTTTGTAAATCCTTTAGCCTCTAACATAACCCTTTTCTTGTTTTCTTGAAAGTATTTTTTAATGACATATTGCTGCACATGATGTGGTGTTAAATTATTGAGAAAACAATTTCAACAGCAACCATACATTTGTAAATGTGCTCTTCCTCTTCCGCCTCCGTCGAGCATAGACGTGTCCCAGACGCTCCTGCTTCTGACTGCTTGCTATCTCCTGTTTTTGTCTTTTTCCTGGAGTTTTGACACAGACAACTTTTAGCAAGAATGGAAATGATTAACTGGTCCCTCAACGCAATTGATTCTATCTTTTCAACACGTAAGCGTGGGTCTGGAGAGCCCGAGTGCCCGGACGGGACTTCACCAGCGGGGTATACTCTTGACAGCTGGAACAAGTGGCAGCCCCTCTGTCTGTCGACCCTGTCCATTGAAGATTCGGAAGACGTATATATCTTTGGCTTTTTGGTGGTGGGGATCCTCCTGTTTGGGTTTGGAGCGGTTCTATTCTACCATAAATTCGGAGGCATGGCAGTTCGCAAGATTCACGACCTGCTGGCCAACAAAATTGATGGGATGTACAAGGAGCTTAACCGAGTCGTGGTTGAGAGCGCTGTGGCTGGACAACGAAGAGTGGTTTTGGTGGAACAGTTGATCAGAGATCTCGCAGCTCGTTCACTTGACGGGCATAAAACTCTGGAATTGAGATTGAATGACATTGTTTGTCACGCTTGAACTCTCTGACCCGGCTTGGATTGGCCCCTGTGTACGGGGTTTGAGGGCGCCGCAATTCGGTTTAATTGGATTTAATAGAATATCTGCCCGTTTTTGACTGCTAAAATGCATACTAGATTGTCCCTCGTTACAGGAAGACGTGTTTTTCTCCATGCTGTGTCTTCGCTCCTCTCTTATCTCACATTCCTCGGGCCAAGGCCATCATAATAAATCTGGTCTCTACAAAAATTTCACACTCTTTCAGTCTTCCAGCTTGGATCCCGCTCCCCCCGCCTCCCTCTGATCTCTCCCTCTCCTCCCCTCCTCACTGTGTTTCCGACTCACCCCCTCCCTGACCCCGCCCCCCTCTGACAGCCACATTGGACCGGCAGCCAGAGGTGCTCATCCCAGAGAAAAAAATCCGTGGTTTATACAAAGCACAATGTTTTCTATCCAACTGTCTGTTGTAACCTGTATGTTATTGCTCTCTGCTGTTTATTCTACTGTTTGTCGCATGGCGCCGGAAAAATGGCGCCGTGGCAAGAGCTCTGGTGTGTGTCGTCTTCTCTGTCTGGTGCACACCGGGGTAGTCTTGCACAGTTTTTCCAATGTGGTTTTACTGCAAATGGCAAATAAATGAATCTGAATCTGTAAGGAAAACAGTCTGTACTCTTCTGTCCTTGCAATGTATGTGTAGGTGTAGGGATGCACTGATTGTGAATTTTTTGGGCCGATACCGACTCCGATGTTTAACATACAGTAACAACTTGTAATTTCTTGGCGGCTTCAGTTTGTTCGTTCTTCAGCTGTACACCGCCTCATGTTTGCTTATGTCCAGTGAGATCTGTTGTGTTAGATGATTTTCTAACAGCCCCCCCCTCTTGAAATCTCACTGAAACACATATAGCAAACTGCATAACGTTGATCTTTTTCTGATACTGTAAAATATTGCCACACGACCGCTGCCATCTTCTTAGTTTCTTCTACTGAGGAAAGTGTGCGGACGCCCTCTACCGGTATCACTTTGCACGCGCCTATCATCGGCGAATGGTCGTTAACAAGGCAACTAGGTGTTTGTGTATTGTCCCAATGTATTCTAATTAACTTACCCTTAGAAATGGAGGGTAGCCCTGACCATAAAATCCAACAGCGAAGTAGTCGGGCTTGGGTCTCAGGATCTTCATAATATTTTCATAGAACTTGGCTTGTTTTTCCTGCGGGGAAATGGAAAGAGATGGACATGTGTGTAATTGGTTTGCTTTGTGCACTCACGCTTTAAAAAAGGACAAAGTCTGAGCGTGCCACCGACAAAGCTCCCCTCAGCAAAACGCTCGACCTATGTGGGTGAGGGATGTGGATGAAAGTGCACCGCACCAAGGACGGTGACTGTCATTTAGAAATAATATAGATTCAGCGTTAAAATACGTGTTCTGGTCTTCTGAAACAGATAAGGGTTTACAATTCTACAGTCACTTGTTTCTGAGGGATGGAAATGGCCAGATTTTCTCAAAATGTCATCTATAGACAGAAAGATGAAACTTGCATTTTTACTAATAAGGAAAAAAAAAAGATTAGTTTAAACATATTCACAAAAGGTATTTAGGGCGCATAAGTCATAAGCAGGGGACTACAGATGAAAAATAGCCTCCTTGGTTAATTCTGGATTTTTAAACTCATGTTTAATCTTGTGTTTTATTAAATTGCATTGTCCCCTTTAAAATAAACTAAACTATATCTGAAACTTGCAACAATAAGGTATCGGACTTTCAAACAACAAAAAGTGAAACTAAGCAAGACAAAAAACATTAATGTAGTACAAGGGTCTCAAACATACCCCATGCTTGAGATACCAGAAGTATTTTGTGGCCTTTGAGTGGATAAGTTTGATGTAAGAGTCAAACAAACCACACCCTTTGTATTCTAACCGCAATAATGATGAGCTATGAACAAACTTTCCACACTTCATTGATATATTGGTTTCAAGCATTTACTTTCTTTACTGTTTTTGTTGAAGAATGAGAAAATGGCATAGATTGAAAATTGTGTGGTTTTATCAATGCAGGTGCTAAACTGTGTCTGTAAAGTAAAATAGCGTGTGCAATTTTAGTGGTTTAATTCTAAATTTGCGAGTGCAAAGATCTGTTTTCTCCAATTAGTCTATATTTCTTGCACCCACACACAAACACGTGATAGATACACCCCTTAATACAACCTCTTGTGTATTAAGGGGTAGATCCCTGATCTCTTTGGCTCCACAGTTTTCACGTTTAGAAAAGTTAAATAGCGAGGACCACCCCCACTCAGCCAATCAGCTCTCATCCCAAACATGAAATAGTGAGCAAAAAAAAAAAAAAAAGTAATATTAACATTTTCTAATAAGAGGATTTGTTCGCACACAACAAATAGACTTTTTTCTGATGGGACAAACATGTACTGTTACTTATGAGAGCAAGTCAAGTACTCCAGCTTTATTATTTTATCTGTTTACATGAATTCAGGATTGACTTGAAGTGTCAGATTAAAAATGCAGAAATGGAAGACAGAAATGCCTAAATAACGTGTTACTTTAGGCGAGAAAATAATCCTTATAGTTGAAAGCATACATAGGTGTGTGTTCAGAAGGTTTTACCAGTCTCTTGCTGAGAAGCTCGTAGTCGAACAGCTCATTTTCATACTGCTCTGCCAACTCTTTGCACAGAGTAATGGCCTCTTCCCACATCTGCACACAGACAAGAGCCAAACAAAAGGCAAGGGGCTTCATTAAATCAACTATTTACAACGTGACAGCAGCAGCAGAACCCAAGTCAATTGAATGTTGTTACTGTGAAGAGAGAGAGAGACGACTGATTTAGTATTGACCATCAGACACACAGCACAATGTTAAACTGGCAGCAGCATCAATGTGACGGCGCATGCTAAAACGAGACAGGTTTGGCACAGCATATGTAAGAAATTACTCACCTTGTTGGTAGAATATACTTTTAAATACATTTGTGGAGATAATTTCATACTCATAAGTGGACATAATCACTCAAAGATTCTCATTGTACCAACATCAGAAGCGGTAAAAAGCTTTTCTGACCTTGCCCTTGTCAAAGTAGTCGATGATGGTGTCGTAGAGCGTTTCTTTAAGCTGTCTCTGTGTCTGAGAGCCGTGAAGTTCAAACTGGGGGGTACACATTTCATCGCACCACTGAAAGAAATAGACAGGGCAAGGGATTCAGTATCTCCACTCTTGCATTGTTGAAAAAGGCAGTGGTTTGTGGCTAATACTGTGAAAATGTATCAACGTTTATGGACATTGGTCATCTGCCCCTTATGGACCAATGTCAATGTGTTTTCTATCATTGCATTTCTTGTGTTTGACGGAATTCAACAATTTTGTAAAGTCCTCCAAGATAACTACTGTGTGATTTAGGACTATACAAGAATAAATGTAGTTTAAAAGTAATTGAAAATATCAACACACACAGTACATACTGTGGTTTGCAAAAATACAACTAAAACTGTTGGATGTTTTGCATTTTGGAACATAGGCTGTGAAGTGAAAGCAAAATAATACACATTTATTTTGTATTCATATAATGATGCATGCACTTAATATACACTATATATGTATATAAAAAATGGACAATTATGTAAAATAAATATCAAACATGAAATAGATTCCACCTGTGTGAAATCTTCTCTAATCGAGTATCTTCACTGATGGCCTTAGAGCTATCTTTAGTGAGTAAGTCATCTTAATTTGCAGTATAGCGCGACAGAATAAGTTATAAAGTGGTGTTTAGGATGTATTGGTCAACGACATCAAGAAGTGGGATAATGCTGTAAAAAAGTTGAAAGCAGTCTTAGGTTGATAAAATATGTCCCAAGCTTTGTACATCTCACAGAAATAATTTCAAGTCAAAATACTCACTCAACTTTTCTCTTTTTATTTGTACTCATATCCAAACAATAGTCCAGTATCTAAAACAAAATTTTTGCTAGTGGCAGACATGGCAACATATCAAGTAGACTAATATGCCAAACACTGTACATGGAAAATATCTGTAAGTCAAGTTCACATTCCCGACTTTTTTAAATGCAAATAAAAATGTGATTGTACATGTGAATGTAAGTGTAAATGTGCACTTTATTGTCCCTGTAGGGAAATTTGTCCTCTGCATTTGGCCCATCCCAATGTCACTAAGGCTTACGTCAGGAGCAATGGTCGCCCGGGAACCCATCTCCAGATGATAATTGGCTTGGTCAGGACTACCGCAGCTGGAGGATTTTTTTTAACTATTGTGCATATTTTTAAGAGGGACATGGCAAGAGGACTGTCATAACTATTCATGAGCAGAAAGGCAAACTATTGGCCAGCCATTCAGTATTTCACACAGTACCTTGAGCAGCCGGGTGTGCAGCAGCAGCGTGTAGGCCGCCTCGGTGTAGTTTTCCCCCTCCAGGTGAAGGTCCCGCAGCTTGTAGAGGTACCTGAGGGCATCACATGGAGTATTTAATATGCAACGTAAACATGCGTCCACTAGAGGCTGCTGTTAGGTCACTCTTCAGGATGCTACATTTACATACAACATATTTGAATGAGATTTGTGTACTGGTTCCTGAATGCATGTCAAAGCTGGGGACTTTTTATCTTTGTATGACTAATCCATTTTTATATTATTTTATGTTATATGAGATTCAACTTTATAGTCATTAGTCATAACAATGTCAGAACAATGCAACGTTATGCAGTTTAGCATCTCACCAGTAGCGCAAGTGTAGGATAATATTTACAACACAGATAGATATACACTACATGCATATATGCGAGATTGCACAAAGCAGCAAATGCCAGTATTTACATTAATTATATTACATTACATTCAAGTGCTTTTAACATACTTTAACAGGGTGTGACTGCTGATTTGGCAAGCAAGAGTCGTCCCCCCTTTTTGAGGTCTGAAAATCTAAAAATGTGATTGAGACCAAAATGCATGCAGTGAAATCAGGTGATAAAACTGCTTTTTGGAGATTGTTGGATGGATTTTATAACATCGACCCTTTTTTTGCCGGTTCAAATTTAAGTACCCCTGCTTTAAACAGACTGAGTATGTCCTTGATAGATAGGTCGGCACAAACCCAAATGATCCATGTTTGATAATGCTTCATAAGGCGTACAAGGTCAAAACCGCTCTATGTATTTATTTGGCTTCTCAATATGAAGTATCATTAACCACAAGGTCCGGTTTTAATGGCAGAACATAAAACAAAACATCCCAAAAGTCGTAAAGGGACAATTCTTCCGCCGTAGATCCATGTGCTGGTCCATTGTGCCTTGTCTCAGAGATAGATGTTAATGTTCGTCACTTTCGCTGCATTATCTTGTTTCATCAGGGTGGGTGTACTTCCCGTCTCCCCTGCAGCATTCATTCCACAGCCACATCATCTCATTTTGCCCGGGGACGGAAATTTGCCTCTTCTGCTAATGATAATGCAGGTGCAGTTTGCAAAATAACAAAAATAAAACTTATGTTCAGAGCCACAGTCAGACAGCAGTGATAAGACTCCCATCGGTTTTGTGTGAAAACGTTGTCCACATAAAATAATAAAGTTGACCCTCATTAAAAATATTACATCATTGAGTAATTACCAAGCAATTAATTGAAACCAGGCTGCGGCACTTTATTTCAAGTTCTCTTATTTAAGTCTAAATAACTGTGAGGTAAATTAACACATATGCAAATGATTCAACTGGTGTAGATTCGTATGTCTGTGGCGCCTTTTAATATCTTGTTTTGGAAAACCGTATGGTCCAATAATTTCCTGTATTAAAGTAGCACTATTTTCATGTCAAGTCATCATTAAAGGGCCCTAATATTTCAAAAGGCATTAATAAAGCATGCTCTATTCAAATACTTAATGAATGATAACAGTAGTTCAGCCGAGATACTTGGATATTTCAAAATTAGTCAGGAAGAGTGGGAAGAGTGGGTACCACTTTTGGCCAGATTTTTTCATGCTGCTCCTTTAATAAACTAATTTCAAGAGTGAATCAATATAAAAAAATAAAAATAAAAATTATTTGCACATTCATTATTATGAGAGGTTATAATATATATATAAAAGAGTGTTTGTTTGCAGGTTGACCGGAGCAAGAAAAAAGGGCAAATGCAAATGACCTATTTTTTTTTTTTTTTTTTTTTTAACCTTATTTAACCAGGAAAATACCCATTGAGATCGAGATCTCTTTTTCAAGGGAGTCCTGGCCAAGAGGTCTGTAGCACACGTCACAGGCACTTTACAGAGCAACAGTAAAACAATACAATAATAATACAATACAATAATACTACAAAGTACAAACAGTGAAACTACAAAACATGTACATGATCAAAAATAAAAAACTAAAGGCAACTATATAACACGTTAAAGTTTAAAAGCATGAGCACTTGGCAATGGTTGAGAACTGTTTTTTTAAAAGAAGTGAACGAAATGCGTTTAAAGACAACAATTTGGACCACTTCAGATCTGACTGCAGACTGTTCCATGCAGCGGGAGCAGAATACCTAAAAGCCTGCTTTCCCAGCTCCGTCCGGACACGTGGAACAGTCAGAAGGTAAGAATCATTGGAACGTAAACTGTACAGGCTCTTGGTTCTCTGAAGAAGGGAGCACAGATAGACAGGAACCAAACCGAGAAGAGCTTTGTACACCAACAGCAATCCAGTGCGTGTACCTCCTCACTGCCAGTGAGGGCCACTGGGCTTTAGCATAAAGTTCACAATGATGTGTAAAGCGACTACATCCCGTCACGTACCTCAAAGCACTGTGATACACAGAATTTAGCGACTGCAGACACTGAGCTGATGCAGACATATATTTAACATCACCATAATCAATTAAGGGTAAAAAAGTGGCAGAAACAAATAGTTTTCGGGCTCTAAGGGTGAAACACGACTTGTTTCTGAAATAAAATCCTACCTTAACCTATTGAAATACTTAGGGTAGCCAACATTTTTGTTCCATGTGAAGCCTTTGTACCAACTCTACACACAGACTATTTGACAAATATATATAGCCTTTGTAAATCCATTTTTCCCCAACGATGATACCCCACTCACGTGGTCCAACCCCACAGACCCGCTACCGTTACTATCACAGTGCCTGCTCCCTGTGCCAAACCCCCCCCCCCCCCTACTTACCCCCCTCCCCCCCCCCCCCCCCCCCCCCCCCCACCGACCCCCCCCCCCCCCCCCCCCCCCACGCCCACCCTCCCCCTCCCCACCCCCCCCCCACCCACGTTGCCTCCCCACTCCCACTCACCCTCCCCTCCCCGCCGCCGCCCCGCTCTCACCCCCCCCCTCCCCCCGCCCCCCCACCCAGAACACACCCCCCCCTCGCACCCCCTACCACAACAACGACCACAGGTCCCCCGCTCAGAAGACTCGTCCCATTATTCCTCTCTCTCCCAGTTTCAACCTATATGTCTCTCGCCCTCTCTCTCCTCTTGGCCCTCCTTCATGCCGGCTTTTCCCTGCCGCTGCCTCCAGTCTGGACCACGGGGCTGATCCTCGGGGATTTTGCATTAATTCAGTGAGACTAGTATAATCCGCCTTGTCTGGATTATGAAGCGTGGGCACACACACCCGACATAGTAACACACGTCTGTGTACTCACCCTTTACTGATTCTGGCATATAAAGAAGAATCAAAAGTCGGGGAGGTAAAGGGCAGTGTATCTACCTTTTGATGTACTCAAAAAATCCCCTCGCGGTTGATATCCTTGTATACGTTCTGCAAGTCGAAAAAAAAATACATGTAAGTGATTTATTCATTTTATTGTGGATTATATGCTTGGAGTTAGGAAGACTCCCTTTATTGATTTATGTTTACTGAGACAATACTGTATTTGCCTTGTTGAAATGCTCACATAAAAAATAAATACATTGTTTAAGTTTTTTTTATTTTCATAATTGTACATATAGTCACCTTATTAACACATGTTCATCTCACTATTGCACATTGTTACCACACCCTAAGAAAGTTTCAGATATTATTTTGGACACACTTTTGATGTGAAAGCAAAATTTCACAAATGGATTTATTCATTTTTAATAAAACCTAAAAAATTGAACTCAGGTTTTCAGAATCAGAAATCTAATTTCCTCCTTGCCATATGCTATCCTATACAACATGGATTTAATACTTTATGGAACTCATCTTTTGCTGCATTCCCACAACAGCAAAAAAAATTTGGGGGTATGACTATGCAAGCTTTGCACGCCTAGGAGGACTGTAATTGTGCTTCCCTACTGTGCGTTTACAAAACCAACTACTAGCTCTGTTATATTAAATGGAACAGAGTTTGTGCTAACAGCCGGTTTATCTGAGTGGTTACACTTTTGCATTTCAGATTCTAGACTCTGACTGGGGCCAAACTAAAACATTGAATTATGTTTTGCTTCAAATCTTTCCATTCATGGTTTTATGTGTTAGGGAAATGATTCTGAAGGTTAACATCCACATAAATCCGCTCTTCAAATGTTTTTGTGTGTGTTGTGTTTGTTTTACAATATTGCTAGTCACTTCTGGATGAAAAAAAGCCCCACAGTATAGATGCCTCCCACCACATTTTTTTTTTTCTTTTTTTTTTTTTTCCTAAAGAACCAGATTGGCATCAAATTTCATAAAATTTTTAGTTCACATCTGACCAAAGTAATCCTTCTTGGGTCAACCACTTGGCTTTATTTCAACTGCTATACCACACAACATGCACAGTAATACTGCTTGAATTAATATGAAAAGTATATTTTTGGAAGCAGTTTGAAGTAGGAAGTGATTATTAGAAAAATATTTGTTGTAAACTATAGGAGTTACTTTTTCAAATCACAAAATGGCTGTAACTACAATTGGTGCCCTTAGGTGTACTCCTGGTCAGAGGTGCCTGGTGAGATGATACAGTAGAACGAAAAATAACCATGGCGACAGCAGCCTCTCATCGTGCTTATGGATAAAAAATCTGTTCCAGAAACATCATGCATTATCACGTACTTGAAAATAGGCCATCAATAAGTCTGTCTTAGCCTGGACTACCATCAATCCGCATGATTCTTGGTCCGGAGATGGGGAACTGCCTGCGGAAATGTTATGTAGGTGGTGGCTAAAGTTCGACTGCAGCCAGGCCAAGTCAGTCATGGCTAAGAAATCGCAGGGGACAGTAGTTGGAACCATGAACATCTTGTCAAACGAGCAATTGCTTGTTAATAAATGTCAGAGAACTTGGGAAACTGATTTTCTGATGTGAGACACTCTACCCTTTGATCTTAGAAGGTGTCATAAAACTATTGAAGTGAGCGTCTGCCGACAAGCAGGTGCAGCTCTACCCGTTCATTACATTCTGCCCTGTTTATACTACACAAAGTGAAAATAACTAATCAGAATCAGAGAATCTATTATTAACTATTTACCATAATTCCAAGCGCGCACGGAGACATATCAAATCCATCTAACTAGATCATTACTCTCAAAAACAGTTTGGTACTATCACCAAATGGTCTTTCATCTACTGCACATGTATTTTACCCTATGTCACATCTTTCTTAACTCTCTCCAACAGAAAAGACAGGACAACCCTCACTCAGATCCAATCACCAATCAGGGTCTCAGCCGAAAATGTGTTATTAAGGACTTTTCCTCAATTGGGTCAAACAAATTAAAATGTGGTGTAGTTCTTTGGAATAGAAAAGTAGTTTTTTTGTAATTTGTCCTACTAACAAGTAATGTGCTAATGTGTTTGCCACAGAGCCGCAAAAACTATGGACCTGAGAGTGGCTTTTGAAAATAAAAGAAACAGCTTTCTACAGCAGGAATACAGGATTTCATGCAATGTCCTGGTTGTTCATGCACAAGGTCAGATCCAATATTTATACTTGTCAGTGGCTTATAGCAAACCTATAGATACGTTAGCATTAATTTACTCATAGGAAAGAACTCCCTGGTAAATGATCAATGATGATTATTGATAGTTTAGGCATGGACAAAGTAATAATAATAATGCATAATGCATCGGTTTTATTATAGCGCTTTTTTGGACACTCAAAGACGCTTTACATGTCCTTATTCTTTCACTCCAAACACGGTGGTGATAAATTACTACTGTAGCCAGAGCTGCCCTGGGGCACACTGACAGAAGCGAGGCAACCAGTATGTGCCATCGGCCCCTCCGACCACCACCAACCATTCACACACACACCAGACTCATTCTAGGCAATGGGGATGAAGTGTCTTGCCTAAGGACACAACGGCAGTTTGGCACTTTACAGCCGCAGCCGCCCCACTGTGGCAGGTGTTCCCAGAGGTTAAGTGTCTTGCCAAGGACAGCAGTCAGTGGGAGTCGATAGTGAAAGTTGGGCTCGAACCCACGACCCTCTGGCTCAAAGGCCAATGCTCTACCAACTGAGCTACTGTCGCCACTTAAGTAAAGCCTGGTTCACACGGCAGGATATTTAGGCCGATTTAGACCCGATTTACCCCTTACGACAATCTTAAGAAACGCTCCGATTTCCGTAACAAAATCTTACAGATTATCCTGCCGTGTGTGGTGTGTTAAGACTGCACTCGTCGCTCGGAAGGACATCGGGACTGCTCCCGATCTCAAATCGGGGATATCCAACATGTTGGATTGTTTTGGCCCGATTTCTCGTCGTGTGTGGTGTCCTCCGAGGACAAGCAAGCGCGTTGCCATGACTACGGCGTGTAGCCAATAAGAAGACGAGGTGACAAGCCGGTGAGTCTCTTCTCTGTTAACGACAAACTGCACACTATCGCCAATGCATCCTCTTCGTCCGCCATGACTGTTTACTCTGAAGTCACGCTTGATCTCGAGAGATTTTGTGAGATTTCCGTCTGACCTGGGAATGCTCGGAGGGGGGTGTCGGTTCGTGTGTGATGTTTGTGGCTTGCGTGATCTTGCCGTGTGGCTACGCACCACACACTGCACGACCAAAGTGGTTAGACGCAGGATTTTTAATCTTCCCGTGTGGGGTCTAACACGGAGAAAAATCGTCTCGTGTGAGCCAGGCTTAAGATGCAAGGCCAGAGTCAGAACTGAACATGCAGAGGTAGTGTTTCAGATGAAAATGTGAGAAAGGCTTTGACTCTGACACGGTTTAAATCCAGATTAAAACTGTTCTGTTTCGCTGCAACAACTGTATTGTATCTTCACTCTTTTTTTACTGTACTGTACTGTAATGTAGTGTCATTATTCATGATTTTTGTTCTGTTTTCTTGTTTAGTCAAGCACTTTGAGTTGCCTTGAGTATGCACTGTGTTTAGAAATGAACTTGCCTTGCCTTTAAAATAGCAAAATACATTTGAAAAAAAAATGATTGCAAATCTCTTTGATAAATTTTAAGAACCACAAGTATTAAGCTCGGCTACATCAAACATGTCTAAGGCAAGGAAACGGTTCTTTAAAGTAATTTCCTCTATAGTGGAAAAGGCAGGCATATATTTGAACGTATATATTTGCCTCTGTGCGTTTCTTCAGAGTTCAGAGGTAGCATGGCTAAGGACAGTGTATTAGAGCACGCCTGCCTGGAGGAGATTTTATTTTCTCTTGGACAAACAAATGAAAGGGAATAAGTAATGCGTAACAGCCACAGGCAACAAATCAAGCACCTCCACCCCTGTATGTACCAGCGCCTTCAAGCTAGGGGCTGGATAGAACATGATAAATGACATAAAAAGCTAGCCTCCATTTATCATAATGGTTCGTGTTTCAAAATATATCTAGCTAAAATGGACATTGCTAACCCCCAAGCTCAATGAAGCCCATTAGGACCAATATTTGCTCTTGCTCCCATTGAAGTATATTGAAAAGTAAACTCTTTATGCTGAGTGACCGTTTGTGCAAAACCACAGTTTTGGGCTTTAAAAATCCCTGGTTTTGCGCTCTTTGATTCTGGTCTTTATATTGTGATATTGTCTTTGTAAATCCAGATATGAGCCCTAACAACTGACCAATAAGGAGCCTTATGTTGCTGAATTTTTTGCGAGAGGTGACAGACTAGCAAGTTCCTGATTGGTGCTTGGAAACGCGACCGTTACTACCAGCTAAATATGCATACATTTGGCTCCACATTGCCACTCGAAGAGCCTGTTTGAGCTAGCTCTAATTGGCCTCTTTCGCTTTAGGGCAAACATTATGGGGGACACAAGCACTCGGCCAATATTCAGTCCATGAATAGAACTGGACACAAGGTGATAGTATCCAGTAGTAGTAGTAGCACTCGTCAATTATCTTGTCATTAAGACTGACATTAATTACTATCTATGTCATCAAAATATTATGTTAAGAGTGAACACCTTGCATAAGTGATCATTTCTCAACCTGAAGGGCATTGTGGGCAAGAATTAGATGAGATCACAAGAAAAAAAAAGTAGAATAGACAAGGAAACGGCTGCAATCAGTTCTGAAGCAAAACGAGAGACGATCCCCTCGGTTTCCATTGAATTAGTCAACAGAGAAACTAAATGAGATGGGGAATTACAAAGGAGTTGACTTCAATCATTCTAAATGAATGTCTCATAATAGACTACTAAATCAGCTGCTTCGGTGGAGATGAGATATTGACTCAAATGACCCGTTAATGATGAGGGTCGTATTTGTACATCCCCAAAGGAGAGCTGTTGGCTGTGTAAAGTAAAGTAAAAGGCAAACCAAGGAAATCGGTGCAAAAAATTATGAAACAGACTTAGAAAAAAAAAGACATTTCACCATCAACAAGTGGTTGCCTACATATCAGAAAATGGTGAACATGAGCTCTCTAGGGCCGATTTATTGAGGGGCTGCCACCTGCTTTGTGTCAGGAAGATGTTATTGCCGTGACTGGAATGTACCCCACTATTTACTGTTTAAAAACATGACTATATTTGCCTTTCCACCAATTTGACATGGCTTGGGTATGTATTTTGGCAGGAATTTAATTTTTGAGAAATTCCAGGCAAATACAGTCATTTGAAAAAGTACTAATACCCCATGAACTTTTCCACTGATACAATTTATAGACTTAAGTTTTTCCCCCATGATTTATTGCAAAACAGTTCCAGCTTTGTTTCATAGGACTGTGGATCACTGCACCATGTGCCGCAAGCTTCCAAGATTGTCACCAATTTTGCTCCCAACAATTTTCATCAACTATGACAGTATTCCATGTCCCTGCTGAATAAAAGCATCACCACAGCATGATGCTGCTACCATCAGGTTTGACAGGACTGGTGTGAGTAGAGTTAGGCCCCGTTTATATGGAGACGCTGCTGCAGTAAAACGCTATAGTAGGATGTCGGTTGCTACCCCCTGTTCATACGGAGACTGTGTTCCAGGGGGGTGAAAACGTAAGTGTTCAGATACCGCCTACAGAGTGGGATAGCTCAGATACGCTGCTTAGCGGGGCACTCTTTCACACCTGCCTGAAGAAAAAGCTGTGAATTCTCTGCTGCTCTGACCCCCATCTCCCCGCACGTACATTTGGACATGCGCAGTAGCCGAGAACAAACGTAAACAACAATGGCGGCGGTGCATCGAGCGCTACACAAAGGAGAATTCTACTCCTTTGTTCGTTCAAATAAAACCACGCAAAGTTACAGTTTCCATTTTCGCAGCTGCTGTTAAATGCAGAATGATGTTTGTGCATTTTTTCACGTCTTGCAGTAGATGTTGTTGAGGAAGTGAGTATACTGCTGGGGGGGCTGGGGCTCACGTGTGTCGTGTTGTAAAGTTTCTCTGCCCACTACTGGACGGGCGCTAGAACTACATTGTTTTTCCCTCGTATGAACGTTGTGAAATTTGCATAAGGACCCTGGTCTTTTCTGTTAACAGCTTGGAAACGGGGCCTTAGTTTTTCACCACACAAGGTTTTTCATTTTGGTCTCATCTGACCAGATCACAGTCTTCCACACGATTTACCTTTCCCCCATTCTTCCATAATGAAAAGATATATGTAGGAATAGTTGTAGTTGTCCCATGTACAGATCCCCCAGCTCAGGTGTAAATGTCTGCAGAATGATCACAGGCCTCTTGGCTTTATCACTCAACTTGTCTTTTTTCATCCTGTCAGTTTGGGCAGGATGAACAAAGACAAGTATAAATGCCTGAGTAAGGCATTTGTGCCATACTCGTTCCATTTACAAATGGATAAAACTCAGCTCTGCTCTGTGAGATCTCAAAGCTTGGGTAATATTTGTATAACATATGTAAAACTGACATTTCTGATGTAATGCTCTGACTTTCTCTTGGAAACCTCCAAGGCCATCCCAGAACACTGTAACTGTATACTGAGATGAGATTACTCTCTTACTTAAGAGTAATAACATCTATATGAGAAAGTAAGTGCATATTTCTGTGGTGTGTGTTTAAATGCACAGCTTTATTTATGCATTAATTACAAGTGAATGAATAAAGAATAAAACATGACACAAAGTAATACGTTTTTTAAAATCTTTTTCAAATTCAATTACTCAAAAAATCAGTGCTTGGGACTGACTCAAAGAGCCCCCTGTGAGACTGGATTCTTTTTCATCCCCATCATATTTCTAACCTAAAAGGCTACAGCAGCGTTCCCCACAGAGAAATCCCTGATGGACTTGTCACCTCGTGTGAGCCAAGGGCGTTTCAGCCGGTTCATTGGTATGCTGTTTTCAAGATGCCGGGACCTACCAGGAGATTGACAGTGCAGCTCATGCGGTTGTTGCGGCTGTCATCGCTCATCACAGTGCGATAGTCCAGAAGGCGGATCAGGAGTCCTTTGACCAATGCAACAAAGTGCTGAATCTGGGGCCAGAGCGTGTGTTTTTCCACGGCACAGTCAAGCAGGCTGATGGATGCAAAAACCAAGGTTAATCGTTTTAGGTTGCACTAATATACAGTAAATGACATAACCATTGCAAAAAGTGATGAAAAATGAGTCCAAAATTGCTCAAATTTGGCAAAATGCCTCTTGAGTACATTTTGACTGCCTTAAAGCAAGATTTGCAGAAATGTCACCCTTGGAATGAGAAAATAAAGCAACAGTTTTTGAAATATGACAAAATGGCTTGTCCCGTTGGAAAGGCTTGTTTTAAGACTTGCCACTAGACTTGAACTATAATTAAGATAAAAAACTACTCGATTCAAGCAATTATTACCTGATATTTTTTGGCAGTGTATGAATTTATTATCAATAACTGAAAACATTTGAGCAATGTTGGTGTTTTTCATAACTTACATAGTTTCCAGCAGTTGCATATAGTGCTCATCTCCGCCTCCTCCTTCCACCTCATGATCTAGCTTCTGTATAATCTCATTCTCAAACTAATGGGGAACACAAAGGAAAGGTGAGTAAAAATACATGCTCTACAAAGATATCGTCTGAAGTCATCACAATGTAAAACCTATACAGAACTGGTGAGGGTTCCCAGCGTTACGGTAAATACATTTGGCAGCAAGTCTCGATGTTGTGCAGACATAACTTTGCATATTTGATGAACCTTTTAAGACGTGAGTGTGGTCTGACCTTGTGGAAGTTCCCAGAATACTCATGTTCGCAAGTGATCATGTCAAAGAAGATGGGGATCGTGGCTCTTCTCAGCTCTTCCTCTGGGATAAGTGTCATCTCAAGGATTGGACCAACCATGTCAGGAATGAAGCAGATCTTATGATTGCCTGCAGAAGGAGACACATAACAAACGCAATACATGTGTGCTTACTACAATTACAGCTATTAAGTTGAAACCATGTAACTGCAACCATTAATAGATTTGTTCATGTGACATCACTAAATGTAATTGCATCCATCAATAGATTATATTTATGTGACATCACTACATATCAAAGAGCCTATAAATTAAAATTGGGGTGGCGGGCAGTTGAAACATATTTCCCGGGTAACGTCAAAAGTCAAACTAATTCCTTAGTAATTCCTGGGCTAATCAACAACTGTCACAAAGTTCCGCATCTTCTTTGTCTCATCATTGACTTTGCTCTAGTTATTTTCCCATATAAAAGTAGTATATTCAAAAATATACGCCAGATGTTGGCAATTAGAAAGGACTTTTAGATATAAGAATAATAAAAACTAATCACTATCAAATAAGATCTGTGCAAACGTGGATGTTTTCTTTTTCAACATTTCTTTCAAATTTTGCTTGACACCTGTCCTCCTGAAATTAAATGTTGCCATTTTTGCCTTGACTGCATCTAAATTGGAAGTAAACCGAAACAAAGCTAAAAAATCCAAGGGTGATGAAAAGGGCCACAATACATCTACAAAAACGAGAACAGTACAAAAATGAGTTGAAGCAGCGCATTTTTATGTCTTTAGTGGAGCACATTCTTGCAGTTGTTTTTTATGCACATGTCCTGAATAGTCTCTATATGAATCATGTTGGAAGATATCATACCTAGTTTGTACCATATGTCTCGGATTGCAAAACCGATGAGAAGCCTCATATCACCATACCTGAAATAAAGAGAAAGTGCAGGAGGGAGAGACGTGTTTCAATCAATAGCTTGTTTCCATTGTGAGGCCGGGTGGGAGAGATAACACTGCAGTAATCCACCCTAACATGAACTCAATTGAATGTTTATCTGCATGCAACACAAGATTTTAATAGGTGGTGGGTGTGTATTTAATGCATATCCCAAAATAGATCATCAATCACCGAGCGCTTCATTAGAGCATGGTGGGGAGGTGTGGTAAATAAACAAATGTTACACAGGCTTCAGAATCTCACTTTGCAAGAATCTTGTTCCTCTTGGTGGGAGAGAAGTGCTGAAGCTGCAATGACTCCTGGGTAATAAATGCCACCGCCAAGTGGAAGTAGTTATTCCAGAGCTAGACAGAGAGCAAAAGTGAGACACATGCGCATGGGCTGAGACGGAGCCAGACTGGATCCACTGAGACTGACCTGCACTTCGAAGTTATTATCACTCAGGAATTTCTGGTTCATGGTGTCTGCGTAGATGTTGATGGCTCTGAGAAAAACTCTAAATGAAGAAAATACATTATAATTTAGCAAATGGATTTGTACACGGAAGACATTGGTTCGTCAACAGGTAGCGTTTGAGTGACATCATGACGTTCCAAAGAGCCTAAAATTCAAAATTGTGATGGAGGGAAGCTTTGAAGATTGTGCTAGTAACTATGGTAATTTTCCTGGGCCAATCTACTCTTCAACAAAAAATGTCAAAATGTTCAACATCTTCTTTCAACGTCACTTACTACTGTCTAATTATTTTCTCATAAAGGTGTTTTGAACTAGTGACGCTATTCAGAAATCCAGTAAAAAGAACTTCCAGACATAAGAATAATATGGCAGGTTGGTAAATCTAACTACTATCAAATAATAATGGTACGATGACGGGACCTCTGGACCTGGCCTCCTCCATCTACACCTGCGGACTGCCCCGTCCGACCCGCCTGGGAGTGCTTCAGTCCTGCACCGGACCTGTCCACGTTCAGCGGCCACTGGTCCACGTTCTGTAGCTAGCTTAGGTCCTGGATCTATAGCCTGTCCGTCCGGAGGAGCGGATCCCTTTCTCAAATGGGGTCCGCCCAAGGTTTTTTTAAAAATGAGTTTTTCCTTGTCGATGCAGGAGGGTCTTGTTGGACAGTTAGTGTCCAACAAAAAGGATTGGTGATGATCAGGACAGGCCTGAAGGTCGTGGGTTCATTTCCCATATCTACACCTTCTCCACTGACTCCCACTGATGACTGCTGTCGTTGTGTCCTTGGGCAAGACACTTAACCCCACTTTGCCCAAAGCCCCCACTGAAAGATCAAGGCTATGCTCTCACTTAGAGCAGCCGTCCTCCTGTGGACTCACCACCTGCAGAGGGTCAGTGAGGGGCTGGTGCTATGAGACTTGGGTGGCATCTCCGATTGCCGCCCCCCTGACCCAGAAATGGATTAAAGGGAAGAAAATGGATGGATGGATGGATGGATGGATGATCAGGACACTTTAACATTCTACAACATGTATGGACATTTTTTTGTGTGTGCTTTATATTTTTCATGTGTTTTAACTGTTGATTCTCTGACCTGTGTTGGTGATTTCAATGGTTTTGTTAAGTCCTCTGAGATGACTTCTGTTGTGAGTAAGGGCTATAAAAGAATAAATTGTATTGTATTGTATTGTATTGTAATGATCTGGGAAAACATTTTTGACATGTTGCACAACATGAACGCAACCAATTAGCCTCGTTTAGAGTCATGAATACAAAACACTACCTCAAGAGTTCCTATAGCCTTCTTGGTCCAATGAGCTACAAAATAAACAGAATAAGCACATGTAAATTCAGCAGTGCTCCCTGTCAGACATCCTCCATGCGTCAAGGAAATGCTAATATAATCCACTGGAGTTAAAAGAGGTGAAACAAAAGCATCTTTTTGTTCTTTTTGTGGATTTACATTTTATAGTCTCCACGGCTGCGATTGCACCCAGAGCTGTGGTGTTGCTTCAGATTCAAAACATTGTGTCGGCATGATAGATCAAGACTGTACCTCAAGACACATTATAAAGACAGGCGGGGAGTTGTGGACTTCTGCATCTGCCCACAGCTAAATGGCAGCCCTCAGCGCGGCGGCTTTCAGGACCAGCTCCCGTCTATCTGTCATCATTTACCACGCAGTCCCCTCGCCTTTGCCACCCACATGCATTTCCCATTTACACTAGGCTTTCTCTTTGCTACATTTCTCTTTATGCTGATTTTGATGTCATATTCCAGCTCTCCAGAGTTGATGCTGCAATGGTTCTTAAGCTTGATGTTGAGAAAGCGCTTGGTCATTTTTGAAAAGTTGGTTTAATGTTATTTAAATCCTTTTTTGGAATTTATTACTTGTGCAGCGTATACTTTCTGTCGCCTGCAGGATTTGACGGGAAGTACTGTTTGAACGTTATGTTATATATACATAAAAGAAGGGTTGTTGAACCAAAACAGCCTATAGAAGATTAAATGTGACGCAATGTGAATCCAATACATGGTCTGAAAAAGTAAACATAAATGTGCTTTATCAAATGCAGAATGTTTTCTCAGATATTTAAAACACTATTTGATTCCTTCCCAATCCTCCTACAGTTGCGTCACTCAAATTGCTATCTTTATTTGTAGTACTGAGAGTCAAAAAGTGGGAGAGAGTGGGAAAACATTAATTTAAATATAAAGCTCCCTCTGATTGAAACAGCCTACTGTTATTGAGCCAGTATCTCAGTATCTCAGGTTAAATAAATTGATATGGTTTGCAAGATTTATTTGCAGTGATTTTAAATAATTGTGGATAATTATGTAACAAAATATTTATAACTGCAAGTTCTAAAAGGAAATATTTCCTGAATTTTGTATTGTATGTATTATCAGTGGTGTTAAAAAGGCGAGGACTATAAAGCCGTGTTCACCTAAGACCAAGCATTGCATCAGGTTTGTATTCAAAGTCAATGCCGTTTGATCACCAACAAGTCCATGTGGTGGATGAGTTGCCTTTTTGTATAGTTTAATGAAAGTACAAAGAACATGATAGACAAATTATGTGAAAAGACTCTCCTCTGAGCAGTTCTGCAAGAACATTGTCCATTGGCCAGTTGGGAATGGGCTATGAGAAATTCCAAACTATGGCCAGAAGAGGTGACTACACATTGCTCAAATGGCCCCCTCCCTGTCCTGCCTGGGAGCCTCTTCAGTCCTGGATCTACAGCCTGTCCATCAGGGGGAGCAGAGCTCTTTCTCTTTATGGGCCTCACAAAGGTTTGCCTTTATGTCCCCACTGGGTTTTTGAGTTGTACCTCGCAGATACAGGAGGGTCTAAGCCAGGCATGTCATATTCAGACCCGCGGGCTAAATTTGGCCCGTGAGACCATTTTTAGTGCCCCTGAAACTATATCATTGAAACTGTTAACTGTTAACATGTAATGAAATATTAAGCCAAAGATATATTCACATGAATCTTCAATACATCTTTTTTATATTTGGCCCAGTTGTGATAGAATCCAAAAAACAATACAATTCTTATGTGAAATAATAGCAATTTGTCAAAATACAAAAATATGTATCAAAAAATATATGTAATATAGAAAAAAAAGATAAGTAAACCACTGCCCCAATGAGCTCTTCCTTTTTCAAACATGGCGCCCAACCAAAATGACACCCCTGGTTTAAGCACAGTGATCATCCAGGACCTATAAGGACTTCTATGCACATTTATTAACATTTACTGTATGGACATTGGTCATCCCGCTCCTATATGGACCAATGGCTTCCACGTTTTTGTTTCATTATTACAGATCCTGTGTTCTGAATGCTTGATCCTGGAATCTATTGTTGGCAAATTTACCATTTTGTCCTCTGAGACGGCTGCTGTTGTTAATTAGGGCAATATATCACAATATCACAGTCATATAACAGTCAGAATTTAGGAATGTTGGAAATGGTGTCTTTCAAAGATTTTGACAAATAAAACATTAAACAGATTAGGTTGTTTAAATGTCAGTGGTGTGAACACAAAGGGTATACATAATAAAATGGTACAATTTTCAATTAAATATACTACTATAGCATTCAGTCAGCATTTCTGGCCATGGCTTTGCTTTACTGCCTCCATCTTATTCCTCTGTGTATTTTTGTTGATAAACTAGTCACACTGAGCCTCCAAAGCAATTTCAAAATATCAATGCTTTCTGGCCCACAAATAAGGTGCAGGGGGACACATGCAGCTCCAGGGAGCAGAGAGTGGACCTCACCTGTTCTGAACCATGATCATGGCCATCCAGTCACACGGGTACACATGCTTCCGAATCAGCTCTTTGAAGAGTACGAAGGACTCCATCAGAAAGTCCTGCAGGAAAGGTTGAGAAAAAGAGATGATGGTGACGGTTTATTGACCGATGTCAAAGTACTGTAGAAAATGCACCATGTGACACAGAGAACTAACACTTAAACTACTGTAATTATAAACACCAGCTGGTATAAACTGTGTGAAGCTTATTGATTTTACTGGTTTCAATGTATTGAGCTTTGTTTAGATATTATCTTTATTGTGCAGTCATGAACATGAAATGCTAAACCAACAGAGGATTGGATTACACTATGTCTGCGAAAAGCACATTATGAATATAGATTACTTACCAACCTGCTTACCAAGAGGGTCCTTAACCTAAAAATAACTTTTCTCAGCTTTCAGCCATGATATAGCAGCTGCTTTAATTTTGATGTTTGAGTAACTTATACATTGAAACTTTGTCTGCGTAGATGGGTGCATATATATCCCTGCACTGACAAAGGGGCGGGGCTAGGTGGAAAAAAGGAGACTGAAGGAGGAGCTACATAACTGTTTTAGCCCAATCTAAACAATCATATGAACCCTTTATTTAATAAAGATCCACGGGAGTCATAGATGATCATGTTACAGAGAACAGAATTGGGTCATGTCCCCTTTAATTAACTTACCACCAGATCAGAATTCCTGTTGAAGGTTTCCAGAAAGGCGGCGTAGTGCTGGTCAGTCATTTGGCTGAGGATCGCCGTCATGCACGCCATCACTCTGGACTACAAACACAATTACAGACAGTGCCCTGAGTAAATGGCTTCATGCTCAGAAGGATACAGCAGATAAGATGGCATCGGGACGTGCTGTATAAAATTGAAATATATTCTAATCTCTTTATTTAATTTGTCACTAGGGGGTCGAGAGATACCGAGAGAAGCATGGCTCCTCAGGCCACTTTACGGCTTGCTAATGTGTGACCAAATCTATGCAAGCCTGAACAACAACATCATTATCACAACCACCCCACAAGAGAGCAGCGCAACGGAAGGGGAGGTTGAGAGGTTATTTTAAAATATTCTATACATATTTAACAACAACTAAGACCAAAAAGTGATTTTTAGAATAATCATAAAAAGCCAGAGCAAAGTAATGCTCGATATACGTTTCTATGCGGCCCTCAAACCCTTTAAATCAATCAATAAATCCACTTTTATTTGTAGAGCACCTTTCCTAGACAAGGCAACACAAAGAACCTCACAACCCATATCAAATGGATCACAAGAAATATTAAAAACATAGAAAATGGAATCCCACAATTCATAAAGATGGCGCCATGGCAAGAGCTCTGGTGCACACTGGGCTAGTCTTGCACAGTTTTTCCAATGTGGTTTTGCTGCTAATGGCAAATACAGTCTTGTATCTTGTATCTATCTTGTAATTAACATCATACTGTCCACCTGACCAATCCAAGCTAAAACCAAAGTCATTTTGTTCGGAAAGAACCAACAACCAAAAACAATATCAACACATCAAAAATAATCATTTGCAGAATTCTGTCATAATGTATAAAGGTTATATAGAAATTAAAAAAATAGCCATAGATGCAAAAGATAGACACTGGATATCTTCATGTTTCCCCTCACCTCTCCTTTAAAGGTTTTTGTTAAAATAAATACAATTAAACATTAAATAACTGAAGTTTTTGGTACATTTAATCTGCAGAATTCAAGGAACAATGTAAAAAACCAGTCCGGGCCTCCAAAATTGGGCGATATTCCTGATATAAGCAGTGCCATTATGTTGTGTTTTCAGGATGAAGGCATGTTGGCTAAATTAACCATTTACATATTGTGAACTTATAAGATATTTGATTGATATAAATTATAATCTATTATTATTCTTCTTTGTTAAAAATGCGTATTTGATTTCTATCCAAATTGGATGCAGAGCAATACCACATCAACCGCAGGTGTGTAGCCTTGATGTCTCGTTCATGCTGCATATACTGATGGACTGTATTACATGAATGTCGTTTTATTATGCAACCTCTGCGACCCCCTGCCACCTGGGACAACAGATTGAAATTAGCCTCTGGTGATAATCTGTTATGCTGTAACCATGCTTGGTCATGTGTGTGATTTAAAATGAAACTAATAAATACAAACACAGGAAGTTGCTTGAGTATGATCTACAATCTACAATCATAGATGTAATTAACCAACAATGCGTTTCTTTTGAGAAAACAGTTTTATTTGCTTGAGAAAAAACAATTCTCTGTTGTAGTCGTATTTCCAATTAAATATCAGTTAGTGACAGTTTGTTCGTATATTGTCCATGTCAGTGTGAAAGTTATTTTGAAATCCAAGGCATGTTCACACGCTTTTTGGTCTAGTTATCTTTAACTGGACCAAGTCTGGCTCAAAAATGCTTCAAAAATTTGTTTCCAAAGATAAACTAACTTAAGTGCATATGCAGAAACATACTCAAACCACCACATGTTTTACACCCACAAAAACAAGCCTTGTAAACCACTTGTGCTTTACAAGTGTGAACGCATCCTGTGTGGCAGTTAAGTGACTGTTTTGTTTTTAAACCTTTGATAAATAGATATCTCATTTCTAAAGTAAAATTACAGTTGGGCATGGTGAAAATGTCACTAGTTATTTTCTCTTTCATCTTCTGGACCAAAGTTAAGCTTTTTGCATCATAACCACTGCTTTTTTAATCGAGTCAGTGTTGAATAGAAAATAACTAGTGACATTTTCACCATGCCCAACTGTAATTTTACTTTATTGTATTTGTTGCAATGAACCTTTGATATCTATTTATCAAAGGTTTAAAAACAAAACAGTCACTTAACTGCCACACAGGATGCGTTCACACTTGTAAAGCACAAGTGGTTTACAAGGCTTGTTTTTGTGGGTGTAAAACATGTGGTGGTTTGAGTATGTTTCTGCATATGCACTTAAGTTAGTTTATCTTTGGAAACAAATTTTTGAAGCATTTTTGAGCCAGACTTGGTCCAGTTAAAGATAACTAGACCAAAAAGCGTGAACATGCCTTGGATTTCAAAATAACTTTCACACTGACATGGACAATATACGAACAAACTGTCACTAACTGATATTTAATTGGAAATACGACTACAACAGAGAATTGTTTTTTCTCAAGCAAATAAAACTGTTTTCTCAAAAGAAACGCATTGTTGGTTAATTACATCTATGATTGTAGATTGTAGATCATACTCAAGCAACTTCCTGTGTTTGTATTTATTAGTTTCATTTTAAATCACACACATGACCAAGCATGGTTACAGCATAACAGATTATCACCAGAGGCTAATTTCAATCTGTTGTCCCAGGTGGCAGGGGTCGCAGAGGTTGCATAATAAAACGACATTCATGTAATACAGTCCATCAGTATATGCAGCATGAACGAGACATCAAGGCTACACACCTGCGGTTGATGTGGTATTGCTCTGCATCCAATTTGGATAGAAATCAAATACGCATTTTTAACAAAGAAGAATAATAATAGATTATAATTTATATCAATCAAATATCTTATAAGTTCACAATATGTAAATGGTTAATTTAGCCAACATGCCTTCATCCTGAAAACACAAACATAATGGCACTGCTTATATCAGGAATATCGCCCAATTTTGGAGGCCCGGACTGGTTTTTTACATTGTTCCTTGAATTCTGCAGATTAAATGTACCAAAAACTTCAGTTATTTAATGTTTAATTGTATTTATTTTAACAAAAACCTTTAAAGGAGAGGTGAGGGAAACATGAAGATATCCAGTGTCTATCTTTTGCATCTATGGCTATTTTTTTAATTTCTATATAACCTTTATACATTATGACAGAATTCTGCAAATGATTATTTTTGATGTGTTGATATTGTTTTTGGTTGTTGGTTCTTTCCGAACAAAATGACTTTGGTTTTAGCTTGGATTGGTCAGGTGGACAGTATGATGTTAATTACAAGATAGATACAAGATACAAGACTGTATTTGCCATTAGCAGCAAAACCACATTGGAAAAACTGTGCAAGACTAGCCCAGTGTGCACCAGAGCTCTTGCCATGGCGCCATCTTTATGAACTTGTGGGATTCCATTTTCTATGTTTTTAATATTTCTTGTGATCCATTTGATATGGGTTGTGAGGTTCTTTGTGTTGCCTTGTCTAGGAAAGGTGCTCTACAAATAAAAGTGGATTTATTGATTGATTTAAAGGGTTTGAGGGCCGCATAGAAACGTATATCGAGCATTACTTTGCTCTGGCTTTTTATGATTATTCTAAAAATCACTTTTTGGTCTTAGTTGTTGTTAAATATGTATAGAATATTTTAAAATAACCTCTCAACCTCCCCTTCCGTTGCGCTGCTCTCTTGTGGGGTGGTTGTGATAATGATGTTGTTGTTCAGGCTTGCATAGATTTGGTCACACATTAGCAAGCCGTAAAGTGGCCTGAGGAGCCATGCTTCTCTCGGTATCTCTCGACCCCCTAGTGACAAATTAAATAAAGAGATTAGAATATATTTCAATTTTATACAGCACGTCCCGATGCCATCTTATCTGCTGTATCCTTCTGAGCATGAAGCCATTTACTCAGGGCACTGTCTGTAATTGTGTTTGTAGTCCAGAGTGATGGCGTGCATGACGGCGATCCTCAGCCAAATGACTGACCAGCACTACGCCGCCTTTCTGGAAACCTTCAACAGGAATTCTGATCTGGTGGTAAGTTAATTAAAGGGGACATGACCCAATTCTGTTCTCTGTAACATGATCATCTATGACTCCCGTGGATCTTTATTAAATAAAGGGTTCATATGATTGTTTAGATTGGGCTAAAACAGTTATGTAGCTCCTCCTTCAGTCTCCTTTTTTCCACCTAGCCCCGCCCCTTTGTCAGTGCAGGGATATATATGCACCCATCTACGCAGACAAAGTTTCAATGTATAAGTTACTCAAACATCAAAATTAAAGCAGCTGCTATATCATGGCTGAAAGCTGAGAAAAGTTATTTTTAGGTTAAGGACCCTCTTGGTAAGCAGGTTGGTAAGTAATCTATATTCATAATGTGCTTTTCGCAGACATAGTGTAATCCAATCCTCTGTTGGTTTAGCATTTCATGTTCATGACTGCACAATAAAGATAATATCTAAACAAAGCTCAATACATTGAAACCAGTAAAATCAATAAGCTTCACACAGTTTATACCAGCTGGTGTTTATAATTACAGTAGTTTAAGTGTTAGTTCTCTGTGTCACATGGTGCATTTTCTACAGTACTTTGACATCGGTCAATAAACCGTCACCATCATCTCTTTTTCTCAACCTTTCCTGCAGGACTTTCTGATGGAGTCCTTCGTACTCTTCAAAGAGCTGATTCGGAAGCATGTGTACCCGTGTGACTGGATGGCCATGATCATGGTTCAGAACAGGTGAGGTCCACTCTCTGCTCCCTGGAGCTGCATGTGTCCCCCTGCACCTTATTTGTGGGCCAGAAAGCATTGATATTTTGAAATTGCTTTGGAGGCTCAGTGTGACTAGTTTATCAACAAAAATACACAGAGGAATAAGATGGAGGCAGTAAAGCAAAGCCATGGCCAGAAATGCTGACTGAATGCTATAGTAGTATATTTAATTGAAAATTGTACCATTTTATTATGTATACCCTTTGTGTTCACACCACTGACATTTAAACAACCTAATCTGTTTAATGTTTTATTTGTCAAAATCTTTGAAAGACACCATTTCCAACATTCCTAAATTCTGACTGTTATATGACTGTGATATTGTGATATATTGCCCTAATTAACAACAGCAGCCGTCTCAGAGGACAAAATGGTAAATTTGCCAACAATAGATTCCAGGATCAAGCATTCAGAACACAGGATCTGTAATAATGAAACAAAAACGTGGAAGCCATTGGTCCATATAGGAGCGGGATGACCAATGTCCATACAGTAAATGTTAATAAATGTGCATAGAAGTCCTTATAGGTCCTGGATGATCACTGTGCTTAAACCAGGGGTGTCATTTTGGTTGGGCGCCATGTTTGAAAAAGGAAGAGCTCATTGGGGCAGTGGTTTACTTATCTTTTTTTTCTATATTACATATATTTTTTGATACATATTTTTGTATTTTGACAAATTGCTATTATTTCACATAAGAATTGTATTGTGTTGTTTGGATTCAATCACAACTGGGCCAAATATAAAAAAGATGTAATTGAAGATTCATAGTGAAATATATCTTTGGCTTAATATTTCATTACATGTTAACAGTTAACAGTTTCAATGATATAGTTTCAGGGGCACTAAAAATGGTCTCACGGGCCAAATTTGGCCCGCGGGTCTGAATATGACATGCCTGGCTTAGACCCTCCTGTATCTGCGAGGTACAACTCAAAAACCCAGTGGGGACATAAAGGCAAACCTTTGTGAGGCCCATAAAGAGAAAGAGCTCTGCTCCCCCTGATGGACAGGCTGTAGATCCAGGACTGAAGAGGCTCCCAGGCAGGACAGGGAGGGGGCCATTTGAGCAATGTGTAGTCACCTCTTCTGGCCATAGTTTGGACTTTCTCATAGCCCATTCCCAACTGGCCAATGGACAATGTTCTTGCCTAGAAACTGCTCAGAGGAGAGTCTTTTCACATAATTTGTCTATCATGTTCTTTGTACTTTCATTAAACTATACAAAAAGGCAACTCATCCACCACATGGACTTGTTGGTGATCAAACGGCATTGACTTTGAATACAAACCTGATGCAATGCTTGGTCTTAGGTGAACCACGGCTTTATAGTCCTCGCCTTTTTAACACCACTGATAATACCATACAATACAAAATTCAGGAAATATTTCCTTTTAGAACTTGCAGTTATAAATATTTTGTTACATAATTATCCACAATTATTTAAAATCACTGCAAATAAATCTTGCAAACCATATCAATTTATTTAACCTGAGATACTGAGATACTGGCTCAATAACAGTAGGCTGTTTCAATCAGAGGGAGCTTTATAATTTAAATTAATGTTTTCCCCACTCTCTCCCACTTTTTTGACTCTCAGTACTACAAATAAAGATTAGCAGTTTGAGTGACGCAAACTGTAGGAGGATTGGGAAGGAATCAAATAGTGTTTTAAATAGTCTGGAAAACATTCTGCATTTGAAAAGCACATTTATGTTTACTTTTTCAGACCATGTATTGGATTCACATTGCGTCACATTTAATCTTCTATAGGCTGTTTTGGTTCAACAACCCTTCTTTTATGTATATATAACATAACGTTCAAACAGTACTTCCCGTCAAATCCTGCAGGCGACAGAAAGTATACGCTGCACAAGTAATATTTCAAAAAAGGATTTAAATAACATTAAACCAACTTTTCAAAAATATGACCAAGCGCTTCTCAACATCAAAGCTTAAGAACCATTGCAGCATCATCTCTGGAGAGCTGGAATACTGTATGACATCAAATCAGCATAAGAGAAATGTAGCAAAGAGAAAGCCTAGTGTAAATGGGAAATGCATGTGGGTGGCAAAGGCGATGGGACTGCGTGGTAATGATGACAGATAGACGGGAGCTGGTCCTGAAAGCGCCGCGCTGAGGTCTGCCATTTAGCTGTGCAGATGCAGAAGTCACAACTCCCCGCTCTGTCTTTCATAATGTGTCTTGAGGTACAGTCTTGATCTATCATGCCGACACAAGTTTTGAATCTGAAGCAACACCACAGCTCTGTGTGCAATCGCAGCCGTGGAGACTTAAATGTAATCACAAAAGAACAAAAAGATGCTTTTGTTCACCTCTTTTAACTCCAGTGGAATATATTAGCATTTCCTGTGACGCATGGAGGATGTCTGACAGGGAGCACTGCTGAATTTACATGTGATTATTCTGTTTATTTGGTAGCTCATTGGACCAAGAAGGCTATAGGAACTCTTGAGGTAGTGTTTTGTATTCATGACTCTAACCGAGGCTAATTGGTTGCGTTCATGTTGTGCACATGTCAAAATGTTTTCCCAGATCATTACAATACAATACAATACAATACAATTTATTCTTTTATAGCCCTAACTCACAACAGAAGTCATCTCAGAGGACTTAACAAAACCATTGAAATCACCAACACAGGTCAGAGAATCAACAGTTAAAACACATGAAAAATATAAAGCACACACAAAAAAATGTCCATACATGTTGTAGAATGTTAAAGTGTCCTGATCATCCATCCATCCATCCATCCATCCATTTTCTTCCCTTTAATCCATTTCTGGGTCAGGGGGGCGGCAATCGAGATGCCACCCAAGTCTCATAGCACCAGCCCCTCACTGACCCTCTGCAGGTTGGTGAGTCCACAGGAGGACGGCTGCTCTAAGTGAGAGCATAGCCTTGATCTTTCAGTGGGGGCTTTGGGCAAAGTGGGGTTAAGTGTCTTGCCCAAGGACACAACGACAGCAGTCATCAGTGGGAGTCAGTGGAGAAGGTGTAGATGTGGGAAATGAACCCACGACCTTCAGGCCTGTCCTGATCATCACCAATCCTTTTTGTTGGACACTAACTGTCCAACAAGACCCTCCTGCATCGACAAGGAAAAACTCATTTTTAAAAAAAACCTTGGGCGGACCCCATTTGAGAAAGGGATCCGCTCCTCCGGACGGACAGGCTATAGATCCAGGACCTAAGCTAGCTACAGAACGTGGACCAGTGGCCGCTGAACGTGGACAGGTCCGGTGCAGGACTGAAGCACTCCCAGGCGGGTCGGACGGGGCAGTCCGCAGGTGTAGATGGAGGAGGCCAGGTCCAGAGGTCCCGTCATCGTACCATTATTATTTGATAGTGGTTAGATTTACCAACCTGCCATATTATTCTTATGTCTGGAAGTTCTTTTTACTGGATTTCTGAATAGCGTCACTAGTTCAAAACACCTTTATGAGAAAATAATTAGACAGTAGTAAGTGACGTTGAAAGAAGATGTTGAACATTTTGACATTTTTTGTTGAAGAGTAGATTGGCCCAGGAAAATTACCATAGTTACCAGCACAATCTTCAAAGCTTCCCTCCATCACAATTTTGAATTTTAGGCTCTTTGGAACGTCATGATGTCACTCAAACGCTACCTGTTGAAGAACCAATGTCTTCCGTGTACAAATCCATTTGCTAAATTATAATGTATTTTCTTCATTTAGAGTTTTTCTCAGAGCCATCAACATCTACGCAGACACCATGAACCAGAAATTCCTGAGTGATAATAACTTTGAAGTGCAGGTCAGTCTCAGTGGATCCAGTCTGGCTCCGTCTCAGCCCATGCGCATGTGTCTCACTTTTGCTCTCTGTCTAGCTCTGGAATAACTACTTCCACTTGGCGGTGGCATTTATTACCCAGGAGTCATTGCAGCTTCAGCACTTCTCTCCCACCAAGAGGAACAAGATTCTTGCAAAGTGAGATTCTGAAGCCTGTGTAACATTTGTTTATTTACCACACCTCCCCACCATGCTCTAATGAAGCGCTCGGTGATTGATGATCTATTTTGGGATATGCATTAAATACACACCCACCACCTATTAAAATCTTGTGTTGCATGCAGATAAACATTCAATTGAGTTCATGTTAGGGTGGATTACTGCAGTGTTATCTCTCCCACCCGGCCTCACAATGGAAACAAGCTATTGATTGAAACACGTCTCTCCCTCCTGCACTTTCTCTTTATTTCAGGTATGGTGATATGAGGCTTCTCATCGGTTTTGCAATCCGAGACATATGGTACAAACTAGGTATGATACTAGAGACTATTCAGGACATGTGCATAAAAAACAACTGCAAGAATGTGCTCCACTAAAGACATAAAAAATGCGCTGCTTCAACTCATTTTTGTACTGTTCTCGTTTTTGTAGATGTATTGTGGCCCTTTTCATCACCCTTGGATTTTTTAGCTTTGTTTCGGTTTACTTCCAATTTAGATGCAGTCAAGGCAAAAATGGCAACATTTAATTTCAGGAGGACAGGTGTCAAGCAAAATTTGAAAGAAATGTTGAAAAAGAAAACATCCACGTTTGCACAGATCTTATTTGATAGTGATTAGTTTTTATTATTCTTATATCTAAAAGTCCTTTCTAATTGCCAACATCTGGCGTATATTTTTGAATATACTACTTTTATATGGGAAAATAACTAGAGCAAAGTCAATGATGAGACAAAGAAGATGCGGAACTTTGTGACAGTTGTTGATTAGCCCAGGAATTACTAAGGAATTAGTTTGACTTTTGACGTTACCCGGGAAATATGTTTCAACTGCCCGCCACCCCAATTTTAATTTATAGGCTCTTTGATATGTAGTGATGTCACATAAATATAATCTATTGATGGATGCAATTACATTTAGTGATGTCACATGAACAAATCTATTAATGGTTGCAGTTACATGTTTTCAACTTAATAGCTGTAATTGTAGTAAGCACACATGTATTGCGTTTGTTATGTGTCTCCTTCTGCAGGCAATCATAAGATCTGCTTCATTCCTGACATGGTTGGTCCAATCCTTGAGATGACACTTATCCCAGAGGAAGAGCTGAGAAGAGCCACGATCCCCATCTTCTTTGACATGATCACTTGCGAACATGAGTATTCTGGGAACTTCCACAAGGTCAGACCACACTCACGTCTTAAAAGGTTCATCAAATATGCAAAGTTATGTCTGCACAACATCGAGACTTGCTGCCAAATGTATTTACCGTAACGCTGGGAACCCTCACCAGTTCTGTATAGGTTTTACATTGTGATGACTTCAGACGATATCTTTGTAGAGCATGTATTTTTACTCACCTTTCCTTTGTGTTCCCCATTAGTTTGAGAATGAGATTATACAGAAGCTAGATCATGAGGTGGAAGGAGGAGGCGGAGATGAGCACTATATGCAACTGCTGGAAACTATGTAAGTTATGAAAAACACCAACATTGCTCAAATGTTTTCAGTTATTGATAATCAATTCATACACTGCCAAAAAATATCAGGTAATAATTGCTTGAATCGAGTAGTTTTTTATCTTAATTATAGTTCAAGTCTAGTGGCAAGTCTTAAAACAAGCCTTTCCAACGGGACAAGCCATTTTGTCATATTTCAAAAACTGTTGCTTTATTTTCTCATTCCAAGGGTGACATTTCTGCAAATCTTGCTTTAAGGCAGTCAAAATGTACTCAAGAGGCATTTTGCCAAATTTGAGCAATTTTGGACTCATTTTTCATCACTTTTTGCAATGGTTATGTCATTTACTGTATATTAGTGCAACCTAAAACGATTAACCTTGGTTTTTGCATCCATCAGCCTGCTTGACTGTGCCGTGGAAAAACACACGCTCTGGCCCCAGATTCAGCACTTTGTTGCATTGGTCAAAGGACTCCTGATCCGCCTTCTGGACTATCGCACTGTGATGAGCGATGACAGCCGCAACAACCGCATGAGCTGCACTGTCAATCTCCTGGTAGGTCCCGGCATCTTGAAAACAGCATACCAATGAACCGGCTGAAACGCCCTTGGCTCACACGAGGTGACAAGTCCATCAGGGATTTCTCTGTGGGGAACGCTGCTGTAGCCTTTTAGGTTAGAAATATGATGGGGATGAAAAAGAATCCAGTCTCACAGGGGGCTCTTTGAGTCAGTCCCAAGCACTGATTTTTTGAGTAATTGAATTTGAAAAAGATTTTAAAAAACGTATTACTTTGTGTCATGTTTTATTCTTTATTCATTCACTTGTAATTAATGCATAAATAAAGCTGTGCATTTAAACACACACCACAGAAATATGCACTTACTTTCTCATATAGATGTTATTACTCTTAAGTAAGAGAGTAATCTCATCTCAGTATACAGTTACAGTGTTCTGGGATGGCCTTGGAGGTTTCCAAGAGAAAGTCAGAGCATTACATCAGAAATGTCAGTTTTACATATGTTATACAAATATTACCCAAGCTTTGAGATCTCACAGAGCAGAGCTGAGTTTTATCCATTTGTAAATGGAACGAGTATGGCACAAATGCCTTACTCAGGCATTTATACTTGTCTTTGTTCATCCTGCCCAAACTGACAGGATGAAAAAAGACAAGTTGAGTGATAAAGCCAAGAGGCCTGTGATCATTCTGCAGACATTTACACCTGAGCTGGGGGATCTGTACATGGGACAACTACAACTATTCCTACATATATCTTTTCATTATGGAAGAATGGGGGAAAGGTAAATCGTGTGGAAGACTGTGATCTGGTCAGATGAGACCAAAATGAAAAACCTTGTGTGGTGAAAAACTAAGGCCCCGTTTCCAAGCTGTTAACAGAAAAGACCAGGGTCCTTATGCAAATTTCACAACGTTCATACGAGGGAAAAACAATGTAGTTCTAGCGCCCGTCCAGTAGTGGGCAGAGAAACTTTACAACACGACACACGTGAGCCCCAGCCCCCCCAGCAGTATACTCACTTCCTCAACAACATCTACTGCAAGACGTGAAAAAATGCACAAACATCATTCTGCATTTAACAGCAGCTGCGAAAATGGAAACTGTAACTTTGCGTGGTTTTATTTGAACGAACAAAGGAGTAGAATTCTCCTTTGTGTAGCGCTCGATGCACCGCCGCCATTGTTGTTTACGTTTGTTCTCGGCTACTGCGCATGTCCAAATGTACGTGCGGGGAGATGGGGGTCAGAGCAGCAGAGAATTCACAGCTTTTTCTTCAGGCAGGTGTGAAAGAGTGCCCCGCTAAGCAGCGTATCTGAGCTATCCCACTCTGTAGGCGGTATCTGAACACTTACGTTTTCACCCCCCTGGAACACAGTCTCCGTATGAACAGGGGGGTAGCAACCGACATCCTACTATAGCGTTTTACTGCAGCAGCGTCTCCATATAAACGGGGCCTAACTCTACTCACACCACTCCTGTCAAACCTGATGGTAGCAGCATCATGCTGTGGTGATGCTTTTATTCAGCAGGGACATGGAATACTGTCATACTTGATGAAAATTGTTGGGAGCAAAATTGGTGACAATCTTGGAAGCTTGCGGCACATGGTGCAGTGATCCACAGTCCTATGAAACAAAGCTGGAACTGTTTTGCAATAAATCATGGGGGAAAAACTTAAGTCTATAAATTGTATCAGTGGAAAAGTTCATGGGGTATTAGTACTTTTTCAAATGACTGTATTTGCCTGGAATTTCTCAAAAATTAAATTCCTGCCAAAATACATACCCAAGCCATGTCAAATTGGTGGAAAGGCAAATATAGTCATGTTTTTAAACAGTAAATAGTGGGGTACATTCCAGTCACGGCAATAACATCTTCCTGACACAAAGCAGGTGGCAGCCCCTCAATAAATCGGTCCTAGAGAGCTCGTGTTCACCATTTTCTGATATGTAGGCAACCACTTGTTGATGGTGAAATGTCTTTTTTTTTCTAAGTCTGTTTCATAATTTTTTGCACCGATTTCCTTGGTTTGCCTTTTACTTTACTTTACACAGCCAACAGCTCTCCTTTGGGGATGTACAAATACGACCCTCATCATTAACGGGTCATTTGAGTCAATATCTCATCTCCACCGAAGCAGCTGATTTAGTAGTCTATTATGAGACATTCATTTAGAATGATTGAAGTCAACTCCTTTGTAATTCCCCATCTCATTTAGTTTCTCTGTTGACTAATTCAATGGAAACCGAGGGGATCGTCTCTCGTTTTGCTTCAGAACTGATTGCAGCCGTTTCCCTGTCTATTCTACTTTTTTTTTTTCTTGTGATCTCATCTAATTCTTGCCCACAATGCCCTTCAGGTTGAGAAATGATCACTTATGCAAGGTGTTCACTCTTAACATAATATTTTGATGACATAGATAGTAATTAATGTCAGTCTTAATGACAAGATAATTGACGAGTGCTACTACTACTACTGGATACTATCACCTTGTGTCCAGTTCTATTCATGGACTGAATATTGGCCGAGTGCTTGTGTCCCCCATAATGTTTGCCCTAAAGCGAAAGAGGCCAATTAGAGCTAGCTCAAACAGGCTCTTCGAGTGGCAATGTGGAGCCAAATGTATGCATATTTAGCTGGTAGTAACGGTCGCGTTTCCAAGCACCAATCAGGAACTTGCTAGTCTGTCACCTCTCGCAAAAAATTCAGCAACATAAGGCTCCTTATTGGTCAGTTGTTAGGGCTCATATCTGGATTTACAAAGACAATATCACAATATAAAGACCAGAATCAAAGAGCGCAAAACCAGGGATTTTTAAAGCCCAAAACTGTGGTTTTGCACAAACGGTCACTCAGCATAAAGAGTTTACTTTTCAATATACTTCAATGGGAGCAAGAGCAAATATTGGTCCTAATGGGCTTCATTGAGCTTGGGGGTTAGCAATGTCCATTTTAGCTAGATATATTTTGAAACACGAACCATTATGATAAATGGAGGCTAGCTTTTTATGTCATTTATCATGTTCTATCCAGCCCCTAGCTTGAAGGCGCTGGTACATACAGGGGTGGAGGTGCTTGGTTTGTTGCCTGTTGCTGTTACGTATTACTTATTCCCTTTCATTTGTTTGTCCAAGAGAAAATAAAATCTCCTCCAGGCAGGCGTGCTCTAATACACTGTCCTTAGCCATGCTACCTCTGAACTCTGAAGAAACGCACAGAGGCAAATATATACGTTCAAATATATGCCTGCCTTTTCCACTATAGAGGAAATTACTTTAAAGAACCGTTTCCTTGCCTTAGACATGTTTGATGTAGCCGAGCTTAATACTTGTGGTTCTTAAAATTTATCAAAGAGATTTGCAATAATTTTTTTTTCAAATGTATTTTGCTATTTTAAAGGCAAGGCAAGTTCATTTCTATACACACAGTGCATACTCAAGGCAACTCAAAGTGCTTGACTAAACAAGAAAACAGAACAAAAATCATGAATAATGACACTACATTACAGTACAGTACAGTAAAAAAAGAGTGAAGATACAATACAGTTGTTGCAGCGAAACAGAACAGTTTTAATCTGGATTTAAACCGTGTCAGAGTCAAAGCCTTTCTCACATTTTCATCTGAAACACTACCTCTGCATGTTCAGTTCTGACTCTGGCCTTGCATCTTAAGCCTGGCTCACACGAGACGATTTTAAAATTGTCGGCCGATTTTTCTCCGTGTTAGACCCCACACAGGAAGATTAAAAATCCTGCGTCTAACCACTTTGGTCGTGCAGTGTGTGGTGCGTAGCCACACGGCAAGATCACGCAAGCCACAAACATCACACACGAACCGACACCCCCCTCCGAGCATTCCCAGGTCAGACGGAAATCTCACAAAATCTCTCGAGATCAAGCGTGACTTCAGAGTAAACAGTCATGGCGGACGAAGAGGATGCATTGGCGCTAGTGTGCAGTTTGTTGTTAACAGAGAAGAGACTCACCGGCTTGTCACCTCGTCTTCTTATTGGCTACACGCCGTAGTCATGGCAACGCGCTTGCTTGTCCTCGGAGGACACCACACACGACGAGAAATCGGGCCAAAACAATCCAACATGTTGGATATCCCCGATTTGAGATCGGGAGCAGTCCCGATGTCCTTCCGAGCGACGAGTGCAGTCTTAACACACCACACACGGCAGGATAATCTGTAAGATTTTGTTACGGAAATCGGAGCGTTTCTTAAGATTGTCGTAAGGGGTAAATCGGATCTAAATCGGCCTAAATATCCTGCCGTGTGAACCAGGCTTTACTTAAGTGGCGACAGTAGCTCAGTTGGTAGAGCATTGGCCTTTGAGCCAGAGGGTCGTGGGTTCGAGCCCAACTTTCACTATCGACTCCCACTGACTGCTGTCCTTGGCAAGACACTTAACCTCTGGGAACACCTGCCACAGTGGGGCGGCTGCGGCTGTAAAGTGCCAAACTGCCGTTGTGTCCTTAGGCAAGACACTTCATCCCCATTGCCTAGAATGAGTCTGGTGTGTGTGTGAATGGTTGGTGGTGGTCGGAGGGGCCGATGGCACATACTGGTTGCCTCGCTTCTGTCAGTGTGCCCGAGGGCAGCTGTGGCTACAGTAGTAATTTATCACCACCGTGTTTGGAGTGAAAGAATAAGGACATGTAAAGCGTCTTTGAGTGTCCAAAAAAGCGCTATATAAAACCGATGCATTATTATTATTACTTTGTCCATGCCTAAACTATCAATAATCATCATTGATCATTTACCAGGGAGTTCTTTCCTATGAGTAAATTAATGCTAACGTATCTATAGGTTTGCTATAAGCCACTGACAATTATAAATATGAACTGTGGTTATTTGAGTTGGCTGGAACCCTTTTAATGGGATGCTTGAGGAAAGGAGATGGTGAAATTATTGCAACATTCCTTTTAAATGTCTGCCTTAGGATGTATAAACCTCTCTAAAAAATCTTTCTTCTGAAATAGAATCTACTGCTATATGTATCTCACGCTGAATATTGCACTGAGCGGTGTGAGAATATAATATCTATTTATTTTCTGAAGACGTGTGAAGTTGGGTTTTCTTCACGCCTCACGATGACCCGTCAAACCGACCGCTGTGAGGCATCAGAACATCTGACATTCATTTGGAAGGGCCCCTGTATGTGCGGTTTGACTGCACTGATACAAACAATTATGGATCTGACCTTTGCATGAACAACCAGGACATTGCATGAAATCTGTATTCCTGCTGTAGAAAGCTGTTCTTTTATTTTCAAAAGCCACTCTCAGTCCATAGTTTTTGCGGCTCTGTGGCAAACACATTACACATTACCTTGTTAGTAGGACAAATTACAAAAAAAACTACTTTTCTATTTCCCAGAACTACACCACATTTTAATTTGTTTGACCCAATTGAAAAAGTCCTTAATAACACATTTTCGGCTGAGACCTGATTGGTGATTGGCTGAGTGAGGGTTGTCCTGTCTTTTCTGTTGGAGAGAGTTAAGAAAGATGTGACATAGGGTAAAATACATGTGCAGTAGATGAAAGACCATTTGGTGATAGTACCAAACTGTTTTGAGAGTAATGATCTAGTTAGATGGATTTGATATGTCTCCGTGCGCGCTTGGAATTATGGTAAATAGTTAATATTAGATTCTGATTCTGATTAGTTATTTTCACTTTGTGTAGTATAAACATGTGCAGAATGGTAATGAACGGGTTAGAGCTGCACCTGCTTGTCGGCAGACGCTCACTTCAATAGTTTTATGACTCCTTCTAAACAAAGGTTAAGTGTCTCACATCAGAAAATCAGTTTCCCAATTTGTCTGACATTTATTAACAAGCAATTGCTCGTTTGCAGTGTTCTGGTCCAATTTCCCTGCGTTTTGCCAGACTGACTTGGCCTGGCTGCAGTCGAACTTTAGCCCCACCTACATAACATTTCAGCAGGCAGTTCCCATTCTGACCAGAATCATGCGGATGATGTAGTCAGGCTAAGACAGACTTTTGTTGCTATTTTCATTACGTGAAATGCATGATGTTCTGGAACAGTTTTATCCATATAGCACGATGAGAGGCTGCTGTCGCCATGGTTTTTTTCTTCTACATCTCCCAGGCACCTCTACCAGGGTACACTAAGGCACCAATTGTAGTTACTGCCTTTTGTGATTTGAAAAAGTACCCTATATTTAACAACAAATATTTTTGTAATATCACTTCCTACTTCAAACTGCTTCCAAAAATATACTTTTCATATTATATTCAAGCAGTTACTGTGCGTGGTATACAGTTGAAATAAAGCCAAGTGGTTGACCCAAGAAGGTACTTTGGTCAGATGTGACTAAAATTTTATGAAATTTGATGCCAATCTGGTTCTTCAGTGTAAAATGTGGTGGGGGTGCATCATACTGTGGGGCTTTTTTTCTCCAGAAGTGACTAGCAATATTGTAAAACAAACACACACACACAAAAACATTTGAAAGCGGATTTATGTGGATGTTAACCTACCTTCAGAATCATTTCCCTAAACATAAAACCATGAATGGAATGATTTGAAACAAAACATATTCATGTTTTAGTTTGGCCCAGTCAGAGTCTAGATCTAAATGCAAAAGTGTAACCATCTGAAAACGGCTGTTCACAAACTCTGTCCATTTAATATAACAGAGCTATAGTTGTTTTGTAAAGACAGTTGGGAACAAATTACAGTCTCTAGGCGTGCAAAGCTTGCATAGTCATACCCCAAATTTGCTGTTGTGAATGCAGCAAAAGAGTGTTCCATAAAGTATTAAATCATGTTGTATGGATAGCTATGCAAGAGGAAATTATTCTGATTCTGAAGACCGAGTTTCAATTTTTGGTTTTATTAAAAAATGTATAAATCATGTGTAATTTTGCTTTCACATCAAAGTTGTCCAAAATAATATCTGATACTTTCTGGTGTGGTAACATGTGCAATAGTGAGATGAACTTGTGTTATAAGGTGACTATATGTACAATTATTAAAATAAAAAAATACTTAACATGTATTTATTTTTTATGTGAGCATTTCAACAAGGCAAATACAGTATTGTATCAGTAAAATAAGTCAATAAAGGATCTTCTAACTCCAAGCATTTTATCCACATAAAAGAATATCACTTAATGTATTTTTTTTTCACTTGCAGAACTTTTACAAGGATATCAACCGCGAGGGGATGTACATCAGGTAGATACACTGACCTTTACCTGCCACTACTTTGATTCTTCTTTATATGCAGAATCAGTAAAGTGTGAGTACCAGACGTGTGTTTCTTTGTGTGTGTGTGTGCCCACGCTTCATAATCCGACAAGGGATTATACTAGTCTCACTGAATTAATGTCAAAATCCCGAGGATCAGCCCCGTGGTCCGACTGGAGGCAGCGCAGGGGAAAAGCCGGCATGATGGAGGCCAAGGAGAGAGAGGGCGAGAGACATTAGGTTTGAACTGGGAGAGAGAGGAATAATGGGACGTCTTCTGATCCTGTGCTTTTGCTGCTGCATGAACACAATTAACACTGTGTGTGAGGGAGATCGTTCAATGAAAATGAGCACAAGCACAATTTTAATCCTTTTGACCACGTATGTACACTTTATACACACTGGTCAATGCTTCCCCAGTTTAAGGCTATATATATTTGTCAAATAGTCTGTGTGTAGAGTTGGTACAAAGGCTTCACATTGAACAAAAATGTTGGCTACCCTAAGTATTTCAATAGGTTAAGGTAGGATTTTATTTCAGAAACAAGTCGTGTTTCACCCTTAGAGCCCGAAAACTATTTGTTTCTGCCACTTTTTTACCCTTAATTGATTATGGTGATGTTATTTATATGTCTGCATCAGCTCAGTGTCTGCAGTCGCTAAATTCTGTGTATCACAGTGCTTTGAGGTACGTGACGGGATGTAGTCGCTTTACACATCATTGTGAACTTTATGCTAAAGCCCAGTGGCCCTCACTGGCAGTGAGGAGGTACACGCACTGGATGCTGTTGGTGTACAAAGCTCTTCTCGGTTTGGTTCCTGTCTATCTGTGCTCCCTTCTTCAGAGAACCAAGAGCCTGTACAGTTTACGTTCCAATGATTCTTACCTTCTGACTGTTCCACGTGTCCGGACGGAGCTGGGAAAGCAGGCATTTAGGTATTCTGCTCCCGCTGCATGGAACAGTCTGCAGTCAGATCTGAAGTGGTCCAAATTGTTGTCTTTAAACGCATTTCGTTCACTTCTTTTTAAAAAACAGTTCTCAACCATTGCCAAGTGCTCATGCTTTTAAACTTTAACGTGTTTAATAGTTGCCTTTAGTTTTTTATTTTTGATCATGTACATGTTTTGTAGTTTCACTGTTTGTACTTTGTAGTATTATTGTATTGTATTATTATTGTATTGTTTTACTGTTGCTCTGTAAAGTGCCTGTGACGTGTGCTACAGACCTCTTGGCCAGGACTCCCTTGAAAAAGAGATCTCAATCTCAATGGGTATTTTCCTGGTTAAATAAAGGTAAAAAAAAAAAAAAAAAAAAAATAGGTCATTTGCATTTGCCCTTTTTTCTTGCTCCGGTCAACCTGCAAACAAACACTCTTTTATATATATATTATAACCTCTCATAATAATGAATGTGCAAATAATTTTTATTTTTATTTTTTTATATTGATTCACTCTTGAAATTAGTTTATTAAAGGAGCAGCATGAAAAAATCTGGCCAAAAGTGGTACCCACTCTTCCCACTCTTCCTGACTAATTTTGAAATATCCAAGTATCTCGGCTGAACTACTGTTATCATTCATTAAGTATTTGAATAGAGCATGCTTTATTAATGCCTTTTGAAATATTAGGGCCCTTTAATGATGACTTGACATGAAAATAGTGCTACTTTAATACAGGAAATTATTGGACCATACGGTTTTCCAAAACAAGATATTAAAAGGCGCCACAGACATACGAATCTACACCAGTTGAATCATTTGCATATGTGTTAATTTACCTCACAGTTATTTAGACTTAAAGGCACACCGCGGACTTTGTGACCTAAAGAGTTGACACATATGAGTTATTTTATATGAATACTTGGGCCAATATACAGCGCTTGACACTTGCAATGCTCCGAGCGGGGCTGCCCTCTTGAAATACCGCCCATGTAAGTTTCGAGCAGACGGACCGTCTGCCACCAGGTCACGTGACTTGGAAGAAAGACTTGCTTTACGGCTACAGGCGCTGATATACTCATGGAGCTAAGGCTTTTGCTACTCATTTTTCACCTGCTCGACTCCTGGTCATGGCTGAGGCAAGGAAAAATTTTAAACCTTCGGAGGAGGCTAAAAAGAGGAAACGCGAAAGGGATCGTGCTGTAAGCTGCATGTCTGTATGAGCGCTGCTCTTCACCTGGTTCCTGGATGTCATCGACTGCAAAGATGTCATTCCACGCAGCACGAGCTAGACGCAGAACTCCCTCATCCAGGATATAGAAGTCCATGTGTGGTAGATTACTAATGCAGCGGTCTGGAGGCTGACCACAGCAGAGTCTCTCAATATCTGTAGGCATGTCTCTACAGTTTGAACACACACACCAGTGCATGCTGTCTGAATACACACTCAAAAGACACCGGCTGACTGTTTGTTGACTTTTGCGACAGTGCTGAGTTGCTTGTGGCCACTAGGGGCGCTAAACGTGAAAGTTGCAGGTCTAGCGCCCCTAGTGGCCAAGAGTTACACGGTGTGCCTTTAAATAAGAGAACTTGAAATAAAGTGCCGCAGCCTGGTTTCAATTAATTGCTTGGTAATTACTCAATGATGTAATATTTTTAATGAGGGTCAACTTTATTATTTTATGTGGACAACGTTTTCACACAAAACCGATGGGAGTCTTATCACTGCTGTCTGACTGTGGCTCTGAACATAAGTTTTATTTTTGTTATTTTGCAAACTGCACCTGCATTATCATTAGCAGAAGAGGCAAATTTCCGTCCCCGGGCAAAATGAGATGATGTGGCTGTGGAATGAATGCTGCAGGGGAGACGGGAAGTACACCCACCCTGATGAAACAAGTTAATGCAGCGAAAGTGACGAACATTAACATCTATCTCTGAGACAAGGCACAATGGACCAGCACATGGATCTACGGCGGAAGAATTGTCCCTTTACGACTTTTGGGATGTTTTGTTTTATGTTCTGCCATTAAAACCGGACCTTTGTGGTTAATGATACTTCATATTGAGAAGCCAAATAAATACATAGAGCGGTTTTGACCTTGTACGCCTTATGAAGCATTATCAAACATGGATCATTTGGGTTTGTGCCGACCTATCTATCAAGGACATACTCAGTCTGTTTAAAGCAGGGGTACTTAAATTTGAACCGGCAAAAAAAGGGCCGATGTTATAAAATCCATCCAACAATCTCCAAAAAGCAGTTTTATCACCTGATTTCACTGCATGCATTTTGGTCTCAATCACATTTTTAGATTTTCAGACCTCAAAAAGGGGGGACGACTCTTGCTTGCCAAATCAGCAGTCACACCCTGTTAAAGTATGTTAAAAGCACTTGAATGTAATGTAATATAATTAATGTAAATACTGGCATTTGCTGCTTTGTGCAATCTCGCATATATGCATGTAGTGTATATCTATCTGTGTTGTAAATATTATCCTACACTTGCGCTACTGGTGAGATGCTAAACTGCATAACGTTGCATTGTTCTGACATTGTTATGACTAATGACTATAGAGTTGAATCTCATATAACATAAAATAATATAAAAATGGATTAGTCATACAAAGATAAAAAGTCCCCAGCTTTGACATGCATTCAGGAACCAGTACACAAATCTCATTCAAATATGTTGTATGTAAATGTAGCATCCTGAAGAGTGACCTAACAGCAGCCTCTAGTGGACGCATGTTTACGTTGCATATTAAATACTCCATGTGATGCCCTCAGGTACCTCTACAAGCTGCGGGACCTTCACCTGGAGGGGGAAAACTACACCGAGGCGGCCTACACGCTGCTGCTGCACACCCGGCTGCTCAAGGTACTGTGTGAAATACTGAATGGCTGGCCAATAGTTTGCCTTTCTGCTCATGAATAGTTATGACAGTCCTCTTGCCATGTCCCTCTTAAAAATATGCACAATAGTTAAATAAATCCTCCAGCTGCGGTAGTCCTGACCAAGCCAATTATCATCTGGAGATGGGTTCCCGGGCGACCATTGCTCCTGACGTAAGCCTTAGTGACATTGGGATGGGCCAAATGCAGAGGACAAATTTCTCTACAGGGACAATAAAGTGCACATTTACACTTACATTCACATGTACAATCACATTTTTATTTGCATTTAAAAAAGTCGGGAATGTGAACTTGACTTACAGATATTTTCCATGTACAGTGTTTGGCATATTAGTCTACTTGATATGTTGCCATGTCTGCCACTAGCAAAAAATTTGTTTTAGATACTGGACTATTGTTTGGATATGAGTACAAATAAAAAGAGAAAAGTTGAGTGAGTATTTTGACTTGAAATTATTTCTGTGAGATGTACAAAGCTTGGGACATATTTTATCAACCTAAGACTGCTTTCAACTTTTTTAGAGCATTATCCCACTTCTTGATGTCGTTGACCAATACATCCTAAACACCACTTTGTAACTTATTCTGTCGCGCTATACTGCAAATTAAGATGACTTACTCACTAAAGATAGCTCTAAGGCCATCAGTGAAGATACTCGATTAGAGAAGATTTCACACAGGTGGAATCTATTTCATGTTTGATATTTATTTTACATAATTGTCCATTTTTTATATACATATATAGTGTATATTAAGTGCATGCATCATTATATGAATACAAAATAAATGTGTATTATTTTGCTTTCACTTCACAGCCTATGTTCCAAAATGCAAAACATCCAACAGTTTTAGTTGTATTTTTGCAAACCACAGTATGTACTGTGTGTGTTGATATTTTCAATTACTTTTAAACTACATTTATTCTTGTATAGTCCTAAATCACACAGTAGTTATCTTGGAGGACTTTACAAAATTGTTGAATTCCGTCAAACACAAGAAATGCAATGATAGAAAACACATTGACATTGGTCCATAAGGGGCAGATGACCAATGTCCATAAACGTTGATACATTTTCACAGTATTAGCCACAAACCACTGCCTTTTTCAACAATGCAAGAGTGGAGATACTGAATCCCTTGCCCTGTCTATTTCTTTCAGTGGTGCGATGAAATGTGTACCCCCCAGTTTGAACTTCACGGCTCTCAGACACAGAGACAGCTTAAAGAAACGCTCTACGACACCATCATCGACTACTTTGACAAGGGCAAGGTCAGAAAAGCTTTTTACCGCTTCTGATGTTGGTACAATGAGAATCTTTGAGTGATTATGTCCACTTATGAGTATGAAATTATCTCCACAAATGTATTTAAAACTATATTCTACCAACAAGGTGAGTAATTTCTTACATATGCTGTGCCAAACCTGTCTCGTTTTAGCATGCGCCGTCACATTGATGCTGCTGCCAGTTTAACATTGTGCTGTGTGTCTGATGGTCAATACTAAAATCATTCCTCTCTCTCTTCACAGTAACAACATTCAATTGACTTGGGTTCTGCTGCTGCTGTCACGTTGTAAATAGTTGATTTAATGAAGCCCCTTGCCTTTTGTTTGGCTCTTGTCTGTGTGCAGATGTGGGAAGAGGCCATTACTCTGTGCAAAGAGTTGGCAGAGCAGTATGAAAATGAGCTGTTCGACTACGAGCTTCTCAGCAAGAGACTGGTAAAACCTTCTGAACACACACCTATGTATGCTTTCAACTATAAGGATTATTTTCTCGCCTAAAGTAACACGTTATTTAGGCATTTCTGTCTTCCATTTCTGCATTTTTAATCTGACACTTCAAGTCAATCCTGAATTCATGTAAACAGATAAAATAATAAAGCTGGAGTACTTGACTTGCTCTCATAAGTAACAGTACATGTTTGTCCCATCAGAAAAAAGTCTATTTGTTGTGTGCGAACAAATCCTCTTATTAGAAAATGTTAATATTAGTTTTTTTTTTTTTTTTTGCTCACTATTTCATGTTTGGGATGAGAGCTGATTGGCTGAGTGGGGGTGGTCCTCGCTATTTAACTTTTCTAAACGTGAAAACAGTGGAGCCAAAGAGATCAGGGATCTACCCCTTAATGCACAAGAGGTTGTATTAAGGGGTGTATCTATCACGTGTTTGTGTGTGGGTGCAAGAAATATAGACTAATTGGAGAAAACAGATCTTTGCACTCGCAGATTTAGAATTAAACCACTAAAATTGCACACGCTATTTTACTTTACAGACACAGTTTAGCACCTGCATTGATAAAACCACACAATTTTCAATCTATGCCATTTTCTCATTCTTCAACAAAAACAGTAAAGAAAGTAAATGCTTGAAACCAATATATCAATGAAGTGTGGAAAGTTTGTTTATAGCTCATCATTATTGCGGTTAGAATACAAAGGGTGTGGTTTGTTTGACTCTTACATCAAACTTATCCACTCAAAGGCCACAAAATACTTCTGGTATCTCAAGCATGGGGTATGTTTGAGACCCTTGTACTACATTAATGTTTTTTGTCTTGCTTAGTTCCACTTTTTGTTGTTTGAAAGTCCGATACCTTATTGTTGCAAGTTTCAGATATAGTTTAGTTTATTTTAAAGGGGACTATGCAATTTAATAAAACACAAGATTAAACATGAGTTTAAAAATCCAGAATTAACCAAGGAGGCTATTTTTCATCTGTAGTCCCCTGCTTATGACTTATGCGCCCTAAATACCTTTTGTGAATATGTTTAAACTAATCTTTTTTTTTTCCTTATTAGTAAAAATGCAAGTTTCATCTTTCTGTCTATAGATGACATTTTGAGAAAATCTGGCCATTTCCATCCCTCAGAAACAAGTGACTGTAGAATTGTAAACCCTTATCTGTTTCAGAAGACCAGAACACGTATTTTAACGCTGAATCTATATTATTTCTAAATGACAGTCACCGTCCTTGGTGCGGTGCACTTTCATCCACATCCCTCACCCACATAGGTCGAGCGTTTTGCTGAGGGGAGCTTTGTCGGTGGCACGCTCAGACTTTGTCCTTTTTTAAAGCGCACAAAGCAAACCAATTACACACATGTCCATCTATTTCCATTTCCCCGCAGGAAAAACAAGCCAAGTTCTATGAAAATATTATGAAGATCCTGAGACCCAAGCCCGACTACTTCGCTGTTGGATTTTATGGTCAGGGCTACCCTCCATTTCTAAGGGTAAGTTAATTAGAATACATTGGGACAATACACAAACACCTAGTTGCCTTGTTAACGACCATTCGCCGATGATAGGCGCGTGCAAAGTGATACCGGTCGAGGGCGTCCGCACACTTTCCTCAGTAGAAGAAACTAAGAAGATGGCAGCGGTCGTGTGGCAATATTTTACAGTATCAGAAAAAGATCAACGTTATGCAGTTTGCTATATGTGTTTCAGTGAGATTTCAAGAGGGGGGGGCTGTTAGAAAATCATCTAACACAACAGATCTCACTGGACATAAGCAAACATGAGGCGGTGTACAGCTGAAGAACGACAAACTGAAGCCGCCAAGAAATTACAAGTTGTTACTGTATGTTAAACATCGGAGTCGGTATCGGAAAAAATTGCACAATCTACCCCGTGTGCGCCAGACAGAGAAGGTGTGCACGACAGAGAAACGATCACACACCAGAGCTCTTGCCACGGCGCCATTTTTCCGGCGCCATGCGACAAACAGTAGAATAAACAGCATAACATTGGTTACAAGGACAGAATAGAAAACATTGTGCTTTGTATAAACCACGGATTTTTTTCTCGGGATGAGCACCTCTTGCCGGTCCAATGTGGCTGTCAGAGGGGGGGCGGGGTCAGGGAGGGGGTGAGTCGGAAACACAGTGAGGAGGAGGGAGGGGAGGGAGAGATCAGAGGGAGGCGGGGGGAGCGGGATCCAAGCTGGAAGACTGAAAGAGTGTGAAATTTTTGTAGAGACCAGATTTATTATGATGGCCTTGGCCCGAGGAATGTGAGATAAGAGAGGAGCGAAGACACAGCATGGAGAAAAAAAACACGTCTTCCTGTAACGAGGGGACAATCTAGTATGCATTTTAGCAGTCAAAAACAGGGCAGATATTCTATTAAATCCAATTAAACCGAATTGCGGCGCCCTCAAACCCCGTACACAGGGGCCAATCCAAGCCGGGTCAGAGAGTTCAAGCGTGACAAACAATGTCATTCAATCTCAATTCCAGAGTTTTATGCCCGTCAAGTGAACGAGCTGCGAGATCTCTGATCAACTGTTCCACCAAAACCACTCTTCGTTGTCCAGCCACAGCGCTCTCAACCACGACTCGGTTAAGCTCCTTGTACATCCATCAATTTTGTTGGCCAGCAGGTCGTGAATCTTGCGAACTGCCATGCCTCCGAATTTATGGTAGAATAGAACCGCTCCAAACCCAAACAGGAGGATCCCCACCACCAAAAAGCCAAAGATATATACGTCTTCCGAATCTTCAATGGACAGGGTCGACAGACAGAGGGGCTGCCACTTGTTCCAGCTGTCAAGAGTATACCCCGCGTGGTGAAGTCCCGTCCGGGCACTCGGGCTCTCCAGACCCACGCTTACGTGTTGAAAAGATAGAATCAATTGCGTTGAGGGACCAATTTAATCATTTCCATTCTTGCTAAAAGTTGTCTGTGGCAAAACTCCAGGAAAAAGACAAAAACAGGAGATAGCAAGCAGTCAGAAGCAGGAGCGTCTGGGACACGTCTATGCTCGACGGAGGCGGAAGAGGAAGTGCACATTTACAAATGTATGGTTGCTGTTGAAATTGTTTTCTCAATAATTTAACACCACGTCATGTGCAGCAATATGTCATTAAAAAATACTTTCAAGAAAACAAGAAAAGGGCTAAAGGATTTACAAAAGTACAAGAGAAAGAGCGGCAGGTAACAGAGAGAGAAAAGTGACAGCTGTTTCACTTTGTGGTGGTTCTCTTTGACTGGAAGAATGGACAGAATGTGGAATGAGGAGAACAGAAGCATGACTTGTGTTGTTGTTTAGAAGGGCACGAAGACACCGACAGACAAAAGGCTCTGGACAAAGACAGGAGATGGTTACAGGGTGCCAAGTTGGAGGGCAGAGGAATATGTAATACAAGATTCGTTTTAACACAGCTGAAAATAAAAACGCTGCTCATCTTACATTCTTATCTGATCTGTTTTGTTTTCCAGCCGAGCATGCCACAAGCAATTAAGCTAATCTGAAATCCATCAGTGTGTGTATTGGTTGTGTGTTGACATAGTTAGGTCAATGAACAAGATTCAATTATACTGTATTACACGGATTCTGTCAACATACTGTAGAGAGACTCATTTGTTTTCCATACAAAGTCAAAAATTGGTCAAACAGCTGACTTTTGCCTTTGTATTGACATTAGAACAAGGTGTTTATCCATCGTGGGAAGGAGTATGAGCGGCGAGAAGACTTCCAGAACCATCTCATGTCCCAGTTTCCCAGTTCAGTGCGGCTGAACACAACCACCATGCCCGGACCTGACGTGCAAGACTCCCCTCTGCAATGTATCCTTCAATCTGATGCTTATTTATGTTGTGTACTCAGGGCAGTCTGTAGTGTACAATACTAACTATTGCATGTTGTGTCTGTTCCACTGTTGCCTCTAATAAATGATTCCAAGCGTAGTTTTGATAATTAGAGTGCATGAATTTTCAATGAGAAAAAACTGGTCCCTTCACTTCCCTTCACAATCTTGCCGTTGACTCAACTTTAGTCTTTTGAAACTGGACAGTGTTCACCCACTCCTCCCAACAAATACAAACAGTTCGCGATTCCTAGAAATGACAAAAGGAATAAAAAATGTATTCATACTGCAGACCTCTGTTTGACCCGTGTTGAAATGCTGTGTCGCCCCAGGACAATAGTCCTATGCTGAAAACTTGTTGTTTTCAGCATAGGGGAGATAGAAACATGCCACACTAAAAGGATCAAAACAAAGTCATCTTAAGTCACGGAGAAGTGGAACTCAGGGAATTGCATTAAAACGGACTACAACATGTATTTATCATCCACATGGAGCAATATAAATATGTTCAGGTTTTACAAGAACAACTTAAAAAAGGAAAGAGCAGCATGCGCAAAAGCCCAAACTTAAGAAGAGCTACCCTCTTGTTACATCACTTTAACAAAACAAATTGTATTTTTTTGTATTGTTTGTTTATTTGGTTGGGACAGGTCATGTTAATGAACACATCACTCCGGATTGTAGCCATGGGTTAATTTCCATCCTCTGTCCCACAGTCGCAGTCACAACCACACACTCATTTACCCTGAACTATTGTACACATTTTTAGTAATAGGGGAAACCGTAGCACCCGGAGGAAACATACGCAAACTCGGGGAGAATATGTAAACTTCACTCAAAAAGGCCCTGTTCCGACCAAAACTGTGACTAAAATATTGCCTGTGTATGGTTTTATAACCTTCATACAACCCACATGTAAAAAGTTTGATATTGATTCTGTCTAAATAATGACCCCGCCTCGGCAAAAAGAGTTTTGGGGAAGAATAACCTGTATTTTTGCTCAACATGAATGAAACTAAGGATTAGATTTGTGAATGGAATGGAAGTGTGCCTCTTGGTCTGCCGACACAAGATATTCTTCACAATAAAAGCACATAGATTAAATAAATGTAAGAACAAAAATGAAAAAAAAAAACATGCAAGCAAATAAATATCTTTGAAGACAAGCAGGTGTCTGACACTCTCCCAGAAAATGTGGCACATTTTACACTTTTTCCAGCTACATTTTTTCTCTCTCATTGGTTTTCTTCCTGAGAGAAACTATTCAGACATACAGTGCTTCACTGTGCAGCCTGTGCTGGAGATCCCCCCTCGTCTGAAGAACAAACCAGTGCCTGACCAGATTATCAAGTCAGCGCCATTTGATTTTATTTCTTACATTTGTATTAGCCGATGGAACAGAATGCCTCCCTGATAGTGCCACGTTTTCAATCTTTTTCTGAAAATGGTTTAATTTGTGTTCTCTGTTTGACTTCTCCTCCCACTCAGCTTCTACAAGTCAAACTACGTGCAGCGCTTTCACTACTCGCGGCCTGTGAGGAAAGGACCTGTGGATCCCAACAATGAGTTTGTAGTGCGTTTCTTTTTGGAATACATTGATTTATTACCATAACAATGACTCAAGACGACACATAGATTCCTAATGCCTTCCTACAGCTCTGACAAATAGCCCGTAATATTGAAAATTGCAGCAGGCGCAAATGAATATGTTATCAAAGTTTTATTCATTGTGCCTCCTCTGTGCAGTCCATGTGGATTGAGAGGACCACCTTCACCACAGTTTATAAGTTGCCCGGAATTCTTCGCTGGTTTGAGGCGTCTGACATTAAACATGTAAGTCTGTTTGAACTCCATGTTTGCTTTAAGCTATTGCCTTCTCTGTTAGAGGTTCCCATCACAGATTCAATCTAGTCTAGAGACTTGGTTCATTATTTATTTACTTCACTTACATCAGGCATGTCCAAAGTCCGGCCTGCAGGCCAATCACGGACCTCTGTGTCATTGTATGTGTTTTTGTTTTTCTGTTGTATAAAACGTTTTTATACAACAGAAAAAGAAAAACCCAGAAAACATAGCAGATATATTATTGGAATTAGTAAACAGGGCATGAACACCCTAACTTTTACAAAAATGTCTTGCCCGCTGAAGCCATTAAGATCATAAACACAAGTTAACAGTGTCATCCAGCCAACTTCAGCTTTACCAATAAAGGCCTGATATAACTGTAAAGCTCAGAACCTCTTGAATTCAGTTGTTTACATTGTTTGACTAATGATATAAGTTCATGAACATGGTACTCACTTAGGTAAAGATAGTTTTGTGTTTATTTCTACCAAGACAACCTTGTCACCGCTGGAGAATGCCATTGAGACAATGGAGTCCACAAACGAGAAGATCCTGGCCATGATTAACCAGTATCAGTCTGATGTGAGTTTACCCATCAACCCCTGTCCATGCTGCTCAACGGCATTGTGGACCCGGCCGTCATGGGAGGATTTGCCAAGTATGAAAAGGTATGTATGTAGTCTTTACTCTGTACTTAAATGATCAAATCATCTTTATCAATTTTACTGTTTCTCTTCAAAACAAGTAACACATTTACCCTAAGTCAAAGCTGTGTTTTTTTCGTTTGGGATTAGGCCTTCTTCACTGATGAGTACATTGAAAATCACCAAGAAGACCATGATAAACTCATGCGACTCAAAGACCTGATTGCATGGCAGAGTCAGAACCACTAAATAAAGTGAAATGGATTACAGCACATATGATATTGTATTATTATTGCATAGACCCCATTACTTGGAGCAGGGATCTCCCTCCATGGAAAAAGAGTGACAGACGACCTCCGGCCTTTCCACGAGCGCATGGAGGAGTGCTTCAAGCAGCTGAAGAAGAAAGTGGAGAAGGAGTACGGAGTGAGGGAGCTGGTGAGGAAAAGAATGAATATCACTAAGAACAACATGTCCTTAAAATATCTTAACTATTCACCTTCAGTGGCTGCTTTTCTTTCTCTTTTTCATAAATTTAATTAGACCATAGATCAAAGTCGCCACACAAACTTCTGATATGTTGGTTTGTGATTTGAACTTTATTTATTCAAATGCACCTTGTCTGGATGGTGTAAGCATGCCATTAACTTGCAAATAGCCCTGCTCCTTCAGGACAGGTAGCACTAATGATGTGCAGGAATCCTCATTTGGAAGAAAACGTGTTGCTTGGAAAGTCAAAAGCAGCTCCACACATCCTGCTTGTTTCTGCTTAAAGCTGTTTGTCTGCTCATTGTAGCCTGACCTGGAGGAGAGAAAGTCCACCCGTCCTCGCTCTATGCTGCGATCTTACCGTCAGTCAGTTATCTCCAATTCATCATTGCAAGGCACTGAATGTGGCACCCCGACCAGGCTGCACGTGGACAGGTATGATGTACACATGGAGGGAAAGGTTAATCAAGTCCAAATATTAGAACATTTATACATATAGGAATACTTTGTTTGAAGCAGAAATGTCCCATCTCAGGCCTGTGTGACAATTGCAGCCCTCTGCACTGGAAAAATATTTAGGCACTAATTGTTTGAATTGTAGTCATTCTGACTATCTTAAGACAAAATTTGCGAACTGGACAAGCCATGTTGTCATATTTCAAGAACTGTTGCTTTATTTTCTCATTCCAAGGGAGATATTTCTTGTATATTTTTCTAAACATCATTTTGAGACATTTTGAGACAATCATTTTGCTTGTCTCAAAGGCAAATCTTATTTTAAGACAGTCAAAATGTGCATTATGCCAAATTTGAGCAATTGTTGACTTATTTTTCATCACTGATTGCAGTGTGTTATTTTATTTGGCTGTCCACCTCACAGACTGTCGTCTTTGAAATACACACAAGTTCACCATGCCAATATGACATTCTGTACCTTGTTGTAAAGCTCAGGACCTCGAGCCGTTGTTGGCTCTTGGACAAATCTTGTGAACTAAATTGGCCCTCTTACTAAAAGGCTTGCTTTAAAGGGAAGTACCGATACGATACTGACATTGGATGTTGGTGCAACAGCTAGTTTAAAGTACAATTGGGCTGAGTTGTATGAAGTTTGATGAGATTTTAAGAATGAAAAATGCTGCCTCTCTTCACTGGGTTCGAATTGGGTATCACCAAATACTGAAGAACACAAAATATCAGACCAGATCGGGGCACCTCTAGTTTAATGTAGAGGTGAAACTCAGGGATCATGTAGAGGTGAAACTCAAAAAAAATATAATATTGTTAAAAATAATGATTAAATTAATATATTTCTTTAATTCATATTAAAATGTCATGTTAAGTAAACATACTGTATGTCAACAATTGTTTTCTTATAATTTACAGTCAATTTTCAAAATGGACTATTTGGGGTTTTTGCAAGCTGTGAGCCGGTAATAACATTAGGACCTTTGCATGTAATTATTCTCTCATATAGTTTCACATTGTAAATGTACAAGTGAATGGACTTTTGATTGATATTTATGGAGCTATTATTGTTTCAATAATATGTGTGTGTGTGTAAACAGATTTGTGCATGCATAAACAGATTTGTCTGTGCGTAACCAGATTTTTGTGTGCATAACCAGATTTGTGTGTACGTAAAAAGATTTGTGCGTGCGTAACCAGATTTGTGTGTGTGTAAAAGAAATATTTGTGTGTGCTTAAAAAGATTTGTGTGCGTGTAAAAAAAAAGTACGTTTTACACACAAGTTATTTTTTACACACAAATCTTTTGACGCAGTCCTGCCTTCGCAGATTCGCAAGTGTAACTTGGACTGTATGCGTCTAATTTGACATTTGTATCTGTAACAGAACAATCTGTGTGTAGATAACCGCATTGTACGAAGAGAAGAAGGAAAAAAGCCTAAGTGCTACGCACAGGCTCTGTTTTACACACAAATCTCTTTTTGACACACCTTTGCCGTCAAGCGTGTGTCAAAAAGATTCGTAAGTTTAATGTGGTTGTTCTAGCAGTACACCAGCAGATGGTGCTGTTGTAGCTGGTTATTACCTACACGCAAGCAAACCAGCAGAGTTTGTGGCACTAATGTGTAGATTTAAAGAAAACCGAAGGATTCAAGAAGAAAAGTTAAGGATGACAAGGGACACTATAAATTCCCACAAAATCCGACTTTTATGAAAGCTGTAGGTTCTCTGTCAGCTGTTATAGTTTACATTGAGTTCTATGGGGAAAATGTCTGTGTAGCCCACGTGAATTTAGTCTTGTCTGCAGTATGCGAGAATCCTGTGGGTCCTTCAGCTCCAAGCTCCAGTTTCCAGTTATTATAATAGATCCATGTATCATACAGTGGTGTGAATGACAGGATTTTGAATTTAGAAAAAAAATATCATAAACAGCTGTGGTAGTGTGTCTTGTCAAGGCAGTAGGTTTTGGTTTGCTTGCCTGTAGGTAATAACCAGCTACAACAGCACCATCTGCTGGTGTACTGCTAGAACAACCACATTACACTTACGAATCTCTTTTGACACACTCCTGGCGGCAGAGGTGTGTCAAAAAGAGATTTGTGTGTAAAACAGAGCCTGTGCGTAGCACTTAGGCTTTTTTCTGTTCTTCTCTTCGTACAACGTGGTTTTTTACACACAGATTGTTCTGTTACAGATAAAAATGTCAAATTACACACACACAAATCTGGGTACAGACGCACACAGTCCAAGTTACACTTGCGAATCTGCGAAGGCAGGACTGCGTCAAAAGATTTGTGTGTAAAAAAAAAACTTGTGTAAAAGGTTTTTTTAATTTTTTTACACACACAAATCTTTTTATGCACACACAAATCTGGTTACACACGCACAAATCTGGTTATTGAAACAATAATAGCTCCATAGATATTCTAATTTTCAGATTTTCACCCTTTACTCAAGCATTAGTTCTGTCGTCACTTACAGAATCAACAGCTAGTTTAAAACACAAGATTACTGATTTGTAATTAGTCGGTGATTGAGCTTTGAGGTAAGAAAAAAGCTGTAGTCCCTTCACTGGTATTTAATTTAAAGTGTGCTTAGGCGTATACATTTACCTGCATGGCTCTGATAAGTCTTTGGCTGTTTGTAGTTGACATCACACTTTGACAGACCAGGAGAAGGCCATATCTTCCCCTTAAGCAAGACTTGGATTGGATAACACTGGGAATACCAGGTGCCACAGTCAGACAGCTGAGGCTCTGCTCAACGTGCCCTTGTGTCTTTATCTGGCAAGACACTTCACCCACAATGACCTACGTGTGTGTATGTGTGTGTGTGTACGTGTGTGTGTATGTGTATGCGTGTGTGTGTGTGTGGTGGGGGTGTGTGCGTGCGTGTGTGAGAGTTAGAGATCGAGTCGGCAGATGGTGGAGTGAATGAATAAAGCACAATAGTGTGCTTTAAGCACAGAACAAAGGTGCTCTGTGCTTCTATTAGTTAGTGGTTCTCAGTTAATAACACATAACTCAGTATTTTTTTGCTTTAGTACAAATTGCCCCTACTTCTGCTGAACAAGATTTATCCACTGACCTTGGAGTCACACAAGAACCCCTCAGATTCAGTTTGAAGTACCCTCCGCTGCACTAAATGACAGAGATTTGTCCTGATTTACTGCCAGCCAAAGCTGCAAAGTCGATATTTAACGCTGTCCATTGACTTTCTCCTTGTCCGCCTTACAGGGATATGCCACCAGAGTCGCCTGTGTGGCCGTGTGCTCTACCACACTCCAGCGGCAGTCTGAGCACAAACACAGGGGAAGACATAGTCACCGTGGGCGACACTGATGTCAGGCTGAGGAAGAGCAAGAAGAAGAAAAGGGGCAGCATGATCTTTATAACTGAAGAGAGAGAGCGGACTGCCACTCTGGATACCAAAAGGGTAGAGTTAAAAAGATGCCACATATGAAATGTCAATGCAAAAGTGGCATGACCTGGTGGATTTACTGATTTACAGTATACATTAATGCAATGGGCTGGGGACCTTTATACTTATGGATACCAGTATTTGAGCAAAACCAGTACTTGAACCAGGACAGATGACCTGGTTTCTTCTTTTGGTTTCTGTAGCGGTGGGAACCAGAAAAGTCCTGCAAGAGGAATTTCAATTGAGTGGACACGATTAGCAAATTCCAAAGACCACATTATTCAGTTGACATTTTATTCACAAACCTCCAATTATCTGGTTGAATATTATAACGCTCAGGCTAAATATTATAAAACAGGTGGAATTATTACTATAATACAGCGTTTTATGTGAGGTCAGACTACCCCGTGACTTTTTTACATGCCAGCTTATAAAACTTGCAGTGGCAACTGTTATTGAAAGGGTCTATGGGTATGGGAAGGGGTTCGTGTTCAGATTGTTTATTTAAAAGTCTAACTCACAAGATCATTCATTCATTAGGTCTGGATAATGATCCAAAGAATTAAACAATTGAAAAGTTAACAGAAAACACCATCAATCTATTACAATTGTATTCTTTGAAAGGAACTACAGTATAACCCACACACTTTTGACAGAAAATTCAGAGATGTATGTACCCCATGCAATAGATAATACAAAATTTGAGATAAAAAAAAAAACCTGCAACAATGAAATGTACTCAACATAGGATGCATGCAGTTCTCCCATCTCCTCATAAATGATACATGATCATCTCTCCTCACTCTTCTGTCTTCATGTTTGCGTGTGATCTCTGTCTCCCTCTAGCTGTCCAAAAAGCAGGAGTTCCGCAGTGACACGAACCTGTGTTCTCCGGAAGAGGGAAGTGTGAGGCTGACCAACTCCAGATCCCTGCCGGCCATCACAGGTCTCACACACTGCAGCTTTTATTCCAACATCCATCCATGTGTTACTTGGTCAACTTGTTATATATACTGTATATATACATATCAACTGGTTAAAGTTCAACTTTAATTTTTCGCTGAAAAGGTCTGGTAAAAGTAAGATTTAGAGTCCTGAGAGCTCATTGGCTCTTTTTAATTCCCACTTTTCCGTGTGATAAAGTTGATCGAATTTGTTTGATGTCTGTGTTGACTGTGCTTTTAATGAATGACATGACTATACTGTGAAGTCTTTATCAAATTGACCAAAAAAAAAAAACAGTGAGGTAATATCTGTACCGTTATTTCCATGAATAGCTTTGCATTCAGGTTGAATAATATTTCAGCTTCTGGGTAGTTACTAATACCACTCAATGAGAGAGAAGCAATTTTTGAAAGAAATGTTGAAAAATATTATCCAAATGTTTACCCACAGATCAGTTTTTATCATAATTACTTCCACAAATGGCCATGTTATTTTAATGTGTGAAAGTGCATTCCATGGCCAATAAAAACGTGGGGGTTTGCATTTGTAGTCATTCAGCCTTATACCTACTGCACCATCCCCTGTGTCAAATATGGGGGGGGGCAACATCATGCTGTGGGACGGCTTTTCTGCACCAGGGAACAGGCAGGAGGGTCAGAGGTGATGGGACGGTGGATGGAGAAAAATAGCTGGGAATTCCACTTATCCTGTATGTTTACTAGTGCAAACCCCACTTTTTATTTCACATATTCATATCAGTAAAATAAATTAAAAGTTCAAAGTGTAATAATACTTTTGCGAGGCACTGTATAATCTTGCAGGTCTAGAGTTCCAATGATAATCAAACCATGTCCACTTGACCTACCGCTTGAGCAGTTCTTCCATATTGCACCACACTGTGCGCAGTCACCTTGCACATTACACTAATTCAAGAGGCACTTATGTTCCCTCGGCCTCTTGCCACGTCCGCCCATGCCAGCAGGATACGTATCGACCCTGCTGTTAATAGACTTCCCGATTAGCGCTGCTGCAAACTGTGCTGTCTATCTGAACACACACACACACACTCTACTGCTGTACACACCACTGTAGAAACAAAGCAGAGTCTCTGGCCGGCCCCGGTCGGCTCATAATTGGAGCTGTCATAGAGGTACATATATCTTTGAAATGGACTGTGCTTGTTGCTTTATGTGCAGGTCTCTCACTGTCAGTGGTGGGCAGTTCAGAGGAGGTGGACAGTGCCCGAGCGAGACGGGACAGCAAGAGCGTGTCCGTGTGCCTGCCATCGGACCGAACAGCCAACAGGAGATCTAAAGGAGTCATCAATCTGTTCTTCAAGACCAAGGTGAGACAAAGAGGCCGGATGTATCTACTCACTCTGTGTCACTGTGCCATTTAGATGCACCTACAATTATTATTTTTGATTATTACACTGCAAAAAAAATTGAGGTTATAATTACTTGAATCTTAAATTAATTTGATTATGTTCTGATTGTCTTTAAACAAGATTTTTGAATAGGACAAGCCATTTAGTCTATTTCAAGCTTTATTTTCTCATTCCATGGGAGACATTTCTTGTATATTTATAAAAATCAACATCATTTTGCTTATCCCATTGGCAAATGATGTTTTAGGGCTGTCCAAATCTTCTCAAATTAAGATAGATTTTGCTGAGAGCTTATCAATTTTTTTAAATAATAATTAACACTATGTGATGGACCAAACTGTTTTGAGATCCAGGTACTGGCTAAATTAATTGTATTACAAATTAGGTATCCCAGATTAACGAAGAAAAATGTGTAATGGAATAAGAGATGGTCGGGATAAGCAAAACAAACGTATCTAGTTCTAGAAGTGGTGTTGATAAGGACAAAAATCTCCGGCTCTCTATCTCTCTCTTATCAGGTTTTGATACCACGTTTTGGTCTCACTGGTCTTCCTCAAGCTGGAGAAATTCACAAAACTAATTTGAGGGGAAAATAAAATCAGCTCTTCCCATGACCTAGCCAATAGTCATCGGCATCCCATCATTAAAACCGAGCTTTTAGATGGCACATTCGACTGTTACCAATGAGTATTACAATGTCTTTATATTAAATAATCCAATGGTTTCGGATAAAAAAAAAACATTTAGATGAATATAGATTGACTATATACATTATTATTATTCAAAATGAAGTGTGGTGACATTGGAAGTATTTATAATCTTAAAGTTGTTTTTATGTGTTTAACAGAGTTCCAAGCCGGAGGACGCCAAACACAGTGATCCAGCCAAAAAGAACAGTCAACATTTCTGAATTCTTCCACGTTCTCCTTTGCTCCCTTGTTTTGAATGCAAGTCTACATAACTGGAGGCATTTCCGTTCTCATACCTGCTCACATGCCAGCAGCAATATTGCTCATGTCTAATGTGATTGGTTTTTCTACCCAATAAGGGCTATTCTTGCGCTGTGACCTTTTTGGCCGTTCATTTAAATGATTTGCTAAGTGCCATTAGCCATCTGCAGCGCGCACACAGACACCCTATTTATGTGCCTGATTAAAAAGCTTCTTGTTGTTCATTTTTACTACTGTGTCTGGGTGACGGTAATGGGAAAATAATCATTTGAGCCGTGTACGCAAGTTTCTCTGACTTCTCAGAAAGGCTTGGCAGAAACATTTCAAAGATGAATGAATAAAGTCAGAAGCAGGCACAGATTAGAACTTCTGAATATTGTAGAAATATGTGGAATTTTAATTTGTTGTTAAAATTTAAAGACTTTTCTCAAGCTAAGTCAATAAATGATTGACTCCCACCTTGACATTAAATAGTACCATTTAAATATTACATTTAATTAAGGGAATGGTGTTTATGGGAGAGACATACGCGTTGGTATTTTGTGAGTTAATTATAATTATGGACATAACCCAGAAAATGCAGATCCATGCATACATGTTTGAGATGCAGAACATTTATTTCATTTTATCTTGTAAGAGAATTTAGTCTAAAATGATCCTTTCATGAAAATGTTGGGTTTTAAAAAGCAAAAATAAATCAATAAAAATAAATTGTCATAGGAAAAGAACCCAGAGTGTGGCTCATTTCCATTGGTAAACTGGAACATACTGGCTGCTTTAGTCAAAAAACATGTCAGGAATTCTTGTTAGATGCATCTGCCCTGGGTGAACTTTTCACTTAATGACTAACAATAAATAGTAGAGCCAAAACCTGTGATTTGTGGGGACACACGTTGGGTTTACTTCAAGCTTGGCAGCAAGGAGGTGATCAACAAGGAAACATATTTCAGCCTTTTGACAGTTATGTAATATATAAAGTAGATACAAAGGCAGCAGCAGTTTTCAGGCACAAGTAATCAGACACAAAGTGTTTGACCATTAGCAACATCAGATTAGAAAATCAAGCAATCACTCCGTAAGAATCCGTATTCGGTATTTGAATTGATATTTGAGCAAATGCATGGAAGTGCTGGAGCAGCCCCTCCTTGGCCTCCGCATCTTCAATAAAGGAATATCTCCAAACTTTATAGTTTCTGTAACTTGTTTTAAGAAGTGTAATACAAGCTCATGTGTATTTTAATCTTACTGTGGGATTGGTGGGTTTAACAAAACAATTTTGAATAGAAATGTTTTTGATGCTGAAGTGTGGTAATAAAACCAGCCTCACCTACTGTGGCTAAAGTTTTTTTTAATAGTTATAGTTATAAAAAAGGCTTTGAGATGTGTCAGCTGTGTTTGATATATATATATATATATATATATATATATATAATTAAGTATTTCCCTGCATGAATACTGTTTACAAAATAGACTATTATATGAATGTATTGTATGTTGTTTTATTTTTCCCTCACTGAAATTGTTCCCATCCTCACCTCTGGAGCTCGAAAAATAGAGCGGCTACTTCTCTGCGTCGAGGGGAGTTCAGGTTGCCCTGAGGGAAGGTTCTGGGCATGTCTCTCCCAGAGGTGGCTCCAGGAGACTTTGGAGGGACTATGTCTCTTAACTGGCTTGGGAATTGCCTCAGGATTCCCCCAGATGAGCTGGAGGAAGTGTGTGTGGTGAGTGAAGTCAGGGCGTCACTGCTTGGACTGATGACGGGAAGAAAATGGATGATGCTCTTCTAGATTTCCCTCCAAATTAATATACTTATGTATATTAAGTATAGTATTTATACTAAGTATTTTGACAAAAGTATAGGCCTCTCTTAGTGATTAAGTATTTCCCTAATCTCCCGATTGATCTGAATAGTAAATAGCTGGGTTAAATATGTAGATTGCTGCTAAAACCAGTGCAGGCCCAAATTCTATTCATGCCTCTCAAAAAGTATTATCTTCTTCCTACTTCCTTCCAGTATTTTTATTCTGATGCATCGCCCTTACTGACCTTCTGCATGTGATAGCGGTTTAAGCAACCGTGTTAATTCTGACATTGTATTAATCACATGGAGCAGGCATTACTTACTCATAACACGCCTCAGAGAATTCCTACTTTTTTCCAGTTCAAGTGTTAATTAAGTTCCTGACAGTTCACCATACAGACCCATTTTATCAACCATTGAAATCATTTAATATCCACGGAGGAGTCTTGCATTATTTATGAGAAACTTCAGCCTGTAAGTAATCTACAAAGGGTGGGTGTATACATGCATACAAACATGTCTCTGCTGATTCCCACAGATGGCTGCTGTGCAAGAAAGGTTAGATTTATCCATACCCCATAACATACACACACGAGGAAATCACTTGGGATTTAAACATATAAATATAATGTATGATATTGACAATAGACTTTTCTCTATAGAACACACACAGGGCTCAACACATAATCATAATTTATTCTAATTAGAGTAACTAATTTCAACTTTACTGTCTATATACTGTCCTGACCATTGCTTTATACTTGACCCTGACACAGAGTAAAGAAACTATAAAAGCCACCAGGGGGCAGCAGAGCTCTTCTGTGATTATAATGAATTGAAACGACAACAGGGCAATATATTCTGATTTGTCGAGAAAATACATGATCACAGACATAATTACCTCAAGTTCAGCTCAGGATATTCATAATTAGACTGAGGCCTATAGCAAGTTCATAGCTTTGCTTTGCTGACTACTGATCAACCTACTAGACTTCTCTTATGGCACGATAGATAGATGAACACTGAATAATTACAAGATACATACAGACATAACAGAAAATATCATACCCCAAGGAGAGATGGCTGGAGAGAGAGAGAAAACCCTCATTTTAGGTCACAGCAGCAATAGGTCTACAAAGCATGGCTGGAGCAGAGACCTAAACACAACAGTTGGGACTGTAGCTTTTGAGCTTTTGAATCAGAAGTTTTATCAAATGGATTTTTGTCATTCTTTCTGTTGGCAGAAGATATAGATCATCATTGGCAAGCTCCTCATGACCATTTGAGCTGTGAGAGAGGTGGACATTGTTATATAAATCTTTTAGTAAAGCAATCTGAATTAACATAAAATAGTTATCAGTGTAAGTTACTCACTAATTCTCAACTCTGGATTCAAATACAGCACATGTTGCTGTTGGCAGCATGGTCAGCTGATAGATGGAGATGTGTTTATTTGGCAATATCTGTGTCGTAAGGCAGCGTACAGAGAAGCCTTGAGCGACACATATCAATAATGATTTCATTTGTAGTAGATATGTCTTTGTTTACTCTGGTTTATTTAATGTCCGTCATTTCCTCATTCGTAGCAGACGGTTTCAGACGGCTGCAGGTGGTATCGGTATCGGTTCTGTTATTCATTGTATATGTGCACATTTACTAATGAATAAACTCACACTTTGATTGTATTACAGCTCTTGGTTGTTTACATTATTTTTGCTCTCGGTCTGTCCAGAAATTCCACAACAATATCTGACGGAGCGGTTCATCCGTCAGAGTGGAACGATCAAAAGCATTTAGAAAGTAAGAAAAGTAAAACTGTTCTGTAACAATTCTGTGTCACAGCCCCTCCAGCACCTGTGGCCACTTCAGCCACTCCCTGAGAGGCTGGCCTTCCCTCCCCATCCCTTTCTGTTGCAGGATGTGAACAGGTGTGCTGGAGGAACTCCATAGCTGAGTTCACTCTCATCATCAGCAGGAAGGATTCAAAAGCCAATGCAGTGAGCTCAGATCGTAAAACTCTGCCAGTCAGTGTTACCTTTCTAGCGCTATTTTTGACTACCTCAAATTATTACATTCAAACCAATTTTTGCTATATTCTCTAGTTCTCCGGCCACCCGCTTTTCCGTCTCCGCCCTGCCCCTGCTCCGTCCTGCCCTGGTTTTGCTCCTTCCCGCCCTGGGTCTGCTCTGTCCTGCTCTGTCCTGCTCTGTCCTGCTCTGTCTTGCCCTGGCTCTACCCCATCTAGCTCCACACCAGATTAAATAAAATTCCATCTGAACTATTTCAGAGTCTGCTCTTGGGTTCTTTTGCCTTGATTTGTTACATCTTGTTCCAGTCTTACTGTAATCTTGTTTTGACCAAAGTCCCTCTACACCTATAGATAGTGGCTGAACATTGAGTTATTCTGCCTTTTTAACCACTATTGACCCTATTTGTTTGGGAACTACACAACGAAAAGTTTGAAATGTGGCAGAAGACTTTACCATCAATGTGGCTGTTAAAAGCATTTTTATTGTTGATTTATTAATGGTTTTTACTGTAATTCATATTTTTATTATGCATCTGGGCCTTGTAAAAAGCCATTAGGTGAGAATGACAATTTTAGCTGAAGACAGAAGTGACGGAAAAGTGGTTATTACACAAAAGAGACAGAAATACTGTATATAGTGCTGTCAGTTTAACGCGTTGATGTTGGTGTTAACGTGGACCTATTTTAATTGTCTTTTTTTTAATCGTGCGATTAAAGCGTGCACAAAGGTGCCGCAACTGCTATTGTCCATGAAACACAGGCCAGAGCGTGGGTTACTGACTGACGAGCGCCTGGTCAATAAAGACAACATGGTTATTACTTGGTCACATGAATCCTGAACCAAAAGTAATATTCTGAATACTAAGACTCCCACATACTATATCCAAGGTATATCAGTGATCAGTGGTTGGTAAAAGTAGAACTGTTCTACTCACTGTAAAAAACAATAACAAAGGCAGAGATGGAGTAGTCTATTAGATAATCCAAATATTTTTTTTTTGGAGGGGATTGGATTAATATAAACGTTTTTCTTTGTCCATTCTTTTTTTTCAAACCGAATCAAAGGACATATAGAACAAATGTGTGGTTAAGCATTAGTTACATTTATTAACTTTATTAACAAGTTGACT